AATAATGCTTTATTGCCCAACAGTCAAGACCAATAATAGGACAATTACATATAGGTAAAGTAATAATGACTAATAAATAGAAAAAAAAAACAAATAAAGGAAATAACTTATATAACTAACTAACAGAAATCTTCATCTACAGTACCTGAAACGATTAATAAAATAGATTTTAAGCTGGTATGATTTATATCACAGAGATGCAACACCATATTAAATAAGTTGCACATATTGTATATAGGTGACTTAAATAAAAGATTAGTTCTTCTTCGCAAACAATAAAAAGTATCGGTATTTCTAGAATTATGCCTAGGAACATGAAAATTAATTTTACTCAGAAGCTCAGGACAATCAATTTGACCATTTAATAACTTGTAGAGGAAAGTGACTCAGTTTAATTTTCTCCTCAAATCTAAACTTTGAAATCCAAATTTATCAATCAGTTGCCTATACGGTGTATCTCTTTCAGGATAAGCATTATCTATCTTAAAACATAAATATTTGTGAAATTTTCTTTGCGGTTTTTCAAGTAACTCTCTATGGCATAAATAGAATGGATTCCAAACAGTAGAGCAGTATTCTAGTTTATTTCTAACGTACAAAAAATACAAAATAATGAGCGCCGCGATATTAGTAAACGATTTAGAGTTGCGAAGTATAAAAGCGTAAGCCTTCATTGCATCATCGACCTTGGACACGATATGACATGAAAAAGATAATTCCTGATCGAAGATCACTCCCAAGTCTTTATAATTACTCAAACGATACGATCAATTTCGATGTTATTAATTAAGTAACTATAACAATAAGGTTATTTCTTCCTTGTAAAGCTAATAATATTGCATTTCTTAGCATTTAGATATAAATCATTCAAATTACACCAGGCAATTTTGGCTATCTCTCCTTGAAGAACAACACAGTCATTTAAGGAGGTAATGTTTGAAACAATTTTTACATCATCAGCATACATTAGTTTCCGACAGTTCCCGGTATAGTTGTAAGGTCATTAACAAATAACAGAAATAACAGTGGGCCCAAATTTGAACCTTGAAGTACTCCCGACTTCGCCAAATACTTGACAAAACCGTAACCATTATAAAAAACATATTGTTGTCTTTCGGATAAATACGACTGTAACAGTAAGACTGAATCAGAATCGAAACTAAAGTTGTAAAGAGAATATTATGATTAATTCTGTCAAATGCCTTTGCAAAGTCGTTATATATAACATCGAACTGAACTCCACTGTCCACCGCTTCCAATGCATACTGGGAAAGAACAGCCAGGTTGCTGGTTGTTGATCTCATTTTCATGACATATTTGTCATGAGGAAGACATTCATTATTTAAATATTCTTGGCCAGCTCGAGAACTATGAGGCGAAGTCTCATCATATAAAGACCACATACGCGGCTTGGCATCATAAAGAGTCCTAATAAGAAATGATTTACAGTGATAACCCAAACATTAATGGAAGATATTGAAAATTAGTAAGACGCGCCGTAGGTCAAAAGACCACTGGTCTAGCTGCCAGTTATTATTATTATTTAGCCAAATATCATAATAAATTACTCCGTATTACACAGAAGATTAAAGATTTTTTTTATATCTAAGTTGCACGCGGTGGAGGAAAGTGTATGTTGATGTACCGGTAGCAATGTCAGTACAGTAGTCAACGATTTTTACACTTGTGAAAAAACAGTTGTTTGCAGAAAGTGTAGACAGTTGCATCTTAAAGTCGATTGCGTTTTGGCGTTAGTTTATCGTGTTACTACAATTTGTTATCGGATTGTACGGCATGTATTGTAAGAAGTTGTATCTATTTCACGTGCAGAATCCATACTCTTCTACAACAAGAGCATTCTTCATATGCAGATTTTTACACCTAGTTACTAGCAAAATATCAACAAAACTTTTCTGCTACAATTTTATTTTCAGAAGGAATTTTTAATCTCATTATCCATAGTGAAATACAGTATAAATCCAGAAATATTAAATGATCTAGGGAGAGAAAGACTTCCTTTACTTCTAATTCAAAACATTAATTAATTAGTTTTGTAAAGGTACTTTAATTAATTGTTATATTTATATATTTAATAAGAAAAAATAAATACGGATGGGCAGTGGTTTTCCTCTGAGACATTCCTTAGTACAACTGCAACTGGTCGCATACAAACGATTTGCCGTTTCTTGCTGTCGGCATCTTCAGTGGTGACTGCGCAAATGCTTCGCTCCGACTGACCCCACCTGCCACGTTGTCACCGGCCTCGATGGGCACGCACCTAGGTCTGTGAAATACAGTGGCAGGAGTGGGGTAGGGGATTCCATTTGCTTTGTCGTTGACGTCCTGTGAAGTGGGGCAGAGGGCATGGACTCGAGTACCATCGCCAGAGATGGTCCTGTCCGTAGCGGCCTTAGATCCAATATGAACCGAACGGGACTAGGGGTTCTAATAGGGGGGTCCGCTCCTACAGAGTCTAGCCCGAGAACAGCAGGGGAAGATCAAAGTTTTCTGGGTTAGGTTAAGGGAGTCAAAGGTAATTCTGTAACCGACGACGGCTAGGTACACGGACCACGACATCATCCGAAAAACTATCCCACATTGAATAACTATATAGTTCTATTTTTTCCGCATGGTATAACTATCATTTTGTGAGAATTTTGGATAATTTTTAGAATTAAGTAAGATTAGTTTGTTATTTTCAAAAGTAAAGTAGCATTTCAAAAGCTAATAATGACAAAAATGTATCATCTGATGAAAATGAATGCTTTATTTATTATGTTTTTAAAGTTAAACATATTTCATATCTTCATATGTTTTTTTACAGAAATAACATTTCCTTAAAACAGAGTAATATAAGTATATTTGTTATTTTTAATAAGGGGATATGGGATACGGTTCTGGCTTGTTACCCTTAAGGAAACATATCTCATTACATATTAAAACTTTATGCTGACATAAAGGTCAAAGTTAGACAAGGCTTAGCTTGAACATCGTGATGAGGACATCTCTCATATATTAAGGAACAAACTACCATTAGTCATACATAAGTTACTGCATAGAGTAATTTCCGTAACAAGAATTTACTTTCAGTTCTGCCTGGCAGCGGATACCATGAACTATATTCCAAAATGCGGTAAGAGAACAGTGAAGTACAATTAATCTTATGCCACGGAGAAATCTGCATTGTCTATGTTGTAAAACATGCTTAATTAAATACATTTAGTGAAGATAATTAACCCTGCGTAGCGCCAGCCAGTTGCTTATTTAACATTATGACATCCTCGAGCACACATTGTATCAAACTATAAATCCGACCCGTGATGCTAATCTGTTTCACAAAAGCTCCCCTGTTATTATAGTTTCCAGGAATATTTGCGTACGCTGAATTGGATTTAAGCAGCGATTTGGAATATATAGATAACTAGAGACCAACTTAATCAGGGGGCAGCATAAATATATGACTATTATTAGTTTACCATAAACCTGATCTGCATGGATTCTAAATGAGAAAAAATAAATATATCATAGATTGAGTGCTGTTCTTTAGTCAAAATTTATACAAAAGTTCGGAGATTGGTGTTAATTCTCTTTATTAAGGTAAATATACCACCGTCTGTTGTCTTTTTTCAATATTATTAAAACCAAGATTCACATTTATATTCACAAAAAATTGGTTGCATCTTAGTCACCGCTTTTGTATCTTGGAATTAATTTTAACTGATTAGTGTTATTGTGGGATACTAACGATAATAAAAAAAATATTATACATATAAAAATGGCAAAATTTAAAAAATGTAATATTTATAATGCTGGAACGATTTNGGTTACAATCGAAAAATATTGAATATACAGAAACCATGCTAAAAGTACAATTATTAAAAATTGTCCAAAGAGAAAAAGGTCAATACATTAAGTATGTAGTGGATGAGATGGCCAAAGATCGAGGAATTCATGTACTCCGTTTACCGCCATACCACTGAGAATTAAACCCAATTGAGTTGGTTTGGGCACAAATAAAGAATGAAAATCGCACGAAAAAACACCATCTTTAAAATAAACGACGTGAAATTATTATTACAGGATGCTATTAATCATGTCACTGCTGAAACATGGTGTAAGTGTATTGGAGATGCACAGAAAGAGGAACAACGTATGTGGGATCTTGATACAACGGTAGAAGTGTTCATAGAACCAGTCATTATCCATTTGGGTGAAGATGATTCTGGTGATAGTGATAGCAACAGTGATATGTGAAAATTTTCCTATATAGTGATAGTAAAGTAAAAGTATGATAGTGAAGTGAATATTTGGCAGTGAAGTGAAAATTTGACAGTGATAATATTCGTGTGAGATAATTATTATAAAATATGTAAGTATTTAAATATATTAATAGTGAAGTGATTGCGTGGCAGTGAAGTGAAAGTGTGACAGTGATTATATTCGTGAGATAATTATTATAAAATATGTAAGTACCTACTTAAATAAATATATTAATACACGCCTATGGATTTTCGATCCCCGCACGCTTCATCCTCCTTATTAGTCCAAGAGCTAGCGATGAATCACTATCTATAATTTCGGCCGTCGAGTATAGGTTTGTGTAATACAGTGGCAGGAGTGGGGCAGGGGATTCCATTTGCTTTGCCATTGACGTCCTGTGAAGTGGGGTAGAGGGCATGGACTCGAGTACCATCGCCAGAGATGGTCCCGTCCGTAGCGGCCTTAGACCCAATATGATCCGAAATGAACAATAGGGCGGGACCAGGGGTGCTAATAGGGGGGTCCGCTCCTACAGAGTCTAGCCCGAGAACAGCAGGGGCAGATCAAAGTTTTCTGGGTTAGGTTAAGGGAGTCAAAGGTAATTCTGTAAACGACGACGGCTAGGTACACGGACCACGACATCATCCGAAAACTATCNTAGCGATGAGTCACTATAATTTCAACCGCGGAGTATAGAATATTCATTGTGCAGTGTACTGAAATAGAAATAATACACGTGGTAACAATGTATCATGTATATTTATTTAAAAAAAGAAAAATATAATAAAATACGGTTTGATTGCTTTCACTTCACACTTTACAAAATAATTTACTTATAAAAATTTATCACTTCATAATACCGGAAAATTATAGTTATGCCGATGCTGTTTCGCGAGTGTCAGCAAACGCAAAAAGTAATTTCTGCTTTGGGGGTTCACATAAAAAGTTAATACTGTCGATTCAGGAGAGACGTCTGGCATAATACCTGGAGACGATAATGGAGATATGCTGATATCGGAGTGATCAGACTGGAGAACGGGCAAGTTTAATATTCCAACAGTACTCCTTACATAATCGGCAACTCTAGCTCTTGAAGCTGGGTCCATTTCAATTGTGGTTTCGTCTTCTGATTTGATGTATACTAATGGCGGAGTTAATTTAAATTCTAACATAGTTGGATCCTTATTTTCTACCACTGTTAGTTCTGATAAGCTGATAATCCTTTGTGTGTTATCCTCATCGGTGTTAATTATAATTAGAGCATCAATGGTTAGTATTAGAGTTAATGCGTTATATTCAGAATGATTTGTTATGCTCGTCGCTTCTGTAATATGCAGCATTTGAGAATGAGCTAAAGAATTTATAAGTTTCCAAGTGAATTTTAGACCAGAGTTCACACCATACTGAATTTTATACACAGAAGGGTTGGATCTTTGTTTTGGTAGAGAATTCCAACCGGCACCTTGTAGCAAACCTAAAAGTTGAGTAACGAAACATTAAAATATATTATGTAATTTTTTAAAAGCTGAAAAATGAAAATGAAATGTTACCTTGTCCAGTCAGAGCCACAAGTTCTGCAGCGCCACTTAAAGGTTTGGTAACAACTCCTACTAGTCCTAAACCTACTCCGGCAGCTAAAGACCTAGGAGAAGCTCCTTCAGTCATCACCGATTGAAGAGGATGGTGAGCAATACCACCAACAGCACCTAATAAACTGATACCTAAACCCGTCAGACCCTAAAACAATTTATATAGATGGTAGACAATGAATATTCTGAAGATCTATACCAGAGTCCCAAAATTGTAGGCAGTCACCATCCTTGCGATGGGTAAGGCATGCGATTCCATGGGATACGTCCATGGATTTTAGAGAAATTATTGAATATAAAATAATAAGTAGATGTGTCGATTTTGGTTAAAACTAGATAATTTTTATCATATATTCAACAGGTAGGCAGGTACAGTAAGACCCCGCTTAACTTTGTTTCGTTTAGCGCGGTTTCGGTTTAGCGGTCTTTTATTTCAACCCGGGGATTCCCCGAAATTGCTCGAAGCACTATGAGGATTCTCCGAAATTGTGCGCAGCGCTAGGTTTCAAAATATGTACATAACCTATCCGAAACAGTGTAGTTGTGTTTCTTGTTTGGTGCGGTGCTGTACGGACGCATTTTTAATAATAATAATAACTGAAATTATGGACCAATTTGTTGAAAATGATCCAAATTTTGACAGGAGGTCAAAAGCAAGACGGGGTTTTATAGATGCTTTATCCACTTATCAACAACTTCTAACAGAACGCAAAAGGAAGACGCAAACTACATTAGATGCCTTCTTGACAAAAAGGCAGAAAATTGGAAACAGAATAGACTGAATGATCTGACTGACTTAGAATTTTATTTGCTTTTATAAGTAATATTCGTTTATATTGTTTTTATTTTTGTAAGAAATAAATGTTTGGTTTTATTTTTATTAAAAAAAAAACATAATTATTAAATTTAATACCTAACCAATTTTCTATCCATCTTCCCCTAACCCCATTATTTACATGTTAAGATAGCCTCCTTTAGCGCTGTTTCGCATTACGCTCTACTTTGATGGAACGTATTCTAGGCATTAAGCGGGGTCTTACTGTACTTTCTTTATTTATATTAAAATATGTATTCAGCAATTCTGTTTTTGTGGCAAAGAAGATGGGAAGTAGCCTCTGCGAGATGTCTACTTATGTAGTGTTTTAACAGTAAGGCAACAACTATATGAGTATTGAGGTTCCACATTCGCTGTTCTTCTTTTTATACGTATATCATACCCTTAAACCATATTTCCGCAGTTACCCGATTAATCGTCACCTAGAGAAGTATTTTTACATTTGCTAAAGTAAAAGTTGTTATTATTTCATTCTACATAAGGCTTCACATTTCTACTGCAACACTCGCATATCCATATTTAAAAACACACTTGAATAACTACAATGTTAATAAAAGGTTTTTCCCACTTACGCGCATATGACATGAAAGAACACGCCTAATATGTACACTAACAAATTGGAAATAGAAACTGTACACGCAAAGATAGGTGTTGGCAACAATGGAACATTTCAAGTATGTATATTACAATTTCCATGTAGAGAATACATAGAATCATTTTACTAGATTAAGAAATTGTATAAATTGTGATTTGTCTACTATTTTGGAACTCTGATTTAATATATATTTTTTAAATTCATTACTTCAAGTAGTTGTCACCTACCTGTAAGAATCCTTGGGCTAGCCCTTGCGGTCTCTGCTTCCTCTGCTCTTCCGTCCTTTTCAAGTGCTCCTCGTCCAAAGTGAGCCTGTCTAAGTTCCTGGCAACACTCGATGCAAGCTTTGTCACTGACTGTAAAGTTCCCGCAGTGACGTGCTTCATCAAAGATGCAGATCCTTGAGTGATACCTCTTAAAAACGCCATAGGGCCTATTAGAAGGCCTCTGTAAGGAAGGCTTACGAAGTCTCGTAAACCTGTTCCCATCGCTCTAGCTAGTCCTCCGGGGCTGCCAAGGAGTTCCAGAGAGCTCACCACCCAGCCTGCTCCAAAGATAGCCCCAGAAAGGTAGTGCATCGTCAAAGCATGACCTAACCTATTTATTGTTAATGAGAGAAGGTATGAGGTAAAAAGTGGCAATGTGTCATTTCAACTTACCTGTAAGGTGTTGTGAATAGTCGTCTCCTCTCGAATTTGCCAAATTGTAAGGGAGATTGGTCTAACGCTATGTAAACCTTTATGGAACTGTGGACGGACAACAATAGTGATACTGGAGCTATCGAAAAATTGCGTATCGTTAATGGCCTTGCTAGTATTGCACATTGAAATGAAATTAGTTCAGGAACGCATACCTAAAAAGAAAATGTTATTATAGTGAATAAAACTGATTGTGCTTAATACTCACTAGACCCGAACTTGTGTTAAATCTGTGAGTTTTACGTTCTGGCCATGTTACCAAGTTAGTTGGTACGAAAATTGTTAAGTAGTTCACTAGCTTGGTTATGTAAATATCTTCGACGTAGCATGATAACGGGTTCATAGTTATTTTAATATCTTTAATTCCTATAATAAAATTGACATTATAAATATACACCGAAGGTATACAGGGTGTTTACGAACCTGGAGATTTATTTTTAATGAGACGTAGATCTTTATAAAAATTTACCTTAATAAAAGTTTTTTAGATATGGAAAAAATATATATATTTTTAATTTGTTTGATATATTTAATTCTAGCTGAGAGATACTGCTTGCTGTTAACTGATATTATTTAGCCTAATATACAGGGTGTTCCAATTAAAAGATCCCACCTGGAAAATATCAAAATCAAAAAAACAAAAAAGCTTGAGATACGTCGATTTTCTTTTCAAGGGAGACACGTGATGGCGTAAGTTTTGGTGTCTTAGAAGCTACCCTTAGGCAGCGGTATAAAATACCCTTAAACTTTAAATGGCACACTATGTTGAGTGACACCTCATTTTAAAGCATTTTCAATTCTACTCATGACGAGATACGACTTTTTAAATTTTGGTTTGGATATGACAATAAAATCATCTTTGCTCCACTTCTGAATGAATATTTTGAAGCATTTCGGGCATTATCTGATGACATTTTTCAACAATTTGCCGACGAAGCTCAAGTGAGTTCGGTTGTGTTGCATAAATTTTCGAATTTAAGTGTCCCCATAGAAAAAAGTTCAAGGGCGCTAAATCTGGTGATCTGGAAGGCCACTCAATTGAACTTCTGCATCCTATACAGTGTTTTGGAAAGTTCTGATTAAATCACGCACTGCTACGGCATAATGTGTTGTCATTTTCCAATACTTCCACAATCATCGGGTAGATATTCGTTTCCAGTAGATTCAAATACATGTTTCCATCCAGATTGCCTGGTAGGAAGAAAGGCCCTATGAGGTGATATCTCAGTATGCCCGCCCAAACATTCAATTTCCTCGGATGCTGCGTGTGAGTTTCATGAAAAATGCGTGGATTTTCATCGCTCCAGTAGCGACCATCCGGTTGGAACGAAAAAACGTATTGAGTACAAAAAATTTGGATTCCTTCGAGCATGATCAGTCAGTTCTTCATAGAACTGCAAGCGGCAATCAGGATCGTTTTCATTAATTTCTTGTACCAAATTAATTTTGTACCGGTGATACTTATGAATTTTTAAGATTCGGCGGCAATTAGGTACAGAAATTCCTAAAGTGCTTGCTAGTTTTCTGAGACTTAAATTTTATTCCATTGTCATGTGACCCAGAACAGCTACCTGATTACCCTCATTACGTACGACCTATTCAAATTGATGCTTTTGCAACTGATCTAGTTTCCGAAAATGTATGCACCAAATCCAGCACGCATCGATGTGAAGTGTTTTTGTCACGATGACGATCATTAAAAATCTGTGCTGCCTGCCGTGAACAGTGATTATTCTTGTAGAAGAAAGTAATTATTTCCACTTTTTTAACAATTGTATAAACCATATTCACGAATTGGAATTCAATCGACTTTGTAATGATTTTAGGGGATATTGTCTCGACAAGACAAGACGAGACAATATTGTCTCGTTTAAAGTAAAATAAGTAAAAAAATTGAACTGATAGAAGTATGAAATTTTTGTATTGACAGATAAAGGAAAAATCAAAATAAATTTTTTTGTCGAGAAATTGTTGAAGAAAAGATAAGGCCCAAAATGCTTCGAAATGTTCATTTGGAAGTGGGGCAAAGATTTTATTTTTGTAAATTTTGAAGTAAAACTAATGGAGATATGGAGTTGTAAGGCTCTGCCTCTCCAGTCCGGTTTCACGCTGCATCGGTCAGCTACACGGAGAAAAAAATGTTATTTTTACTTAAAAAAAAAAATGGGTTAAAATTACTAACTTGACAACGTAATTATGAAAATAGTATTTTTTACAATATGATATAGTAACTTTTATTTCTTAAAGTAAAAATCTTCAAATTTTTAAACGCGTTTTTCTCACACTTAGCATTTTTAGAATCAGTGAACTCGGCTAAAACTCTACTGCACCAATCCTTTTGAAATTTTGCACATTCTTTCTTTACATAAATAATGAGGTAACGCTGTCGAGTTTTTTATTTTTTTTTAGTTTTAACGTATTTTAAAATAACAAAATTTGATTTTTTTAATGAAAAATCGGTATTTTGAATTCTAAGTGCTGTATAAAATTGAAAAGTCAATAATAAAAGAAAAACTTGGAAGGGTTCCCTGCAGAAACTTATCAACTAATCAAATCATTTCTGTTTTTTGATATTTATTAATAATTTCACAGAATATTCTTTAAATGTTATTTTATCATGTTGTAATTATAGAAATAAACATGTATTAACTGTGTCATAAAAAAAAATGATCGAAAATATGCTTTTTTGTATCGAATTTACTTTACCCCCCCTCTCTTAAGTGATGATTTTATTGTCAAATAAGTGATATGTGGTCGTGAGCAGAACTGAAAAAGCTTTAAAATGAGGTGTCACTCAACATAGCATGCCATTTAAAGTTTAAGGGTATTTTATACCGCTGCCTAAGGGGTGGTTTCCTAGACACCAAAACACCATCATCTGTCCCCCTTGAAAAGAAAATTGATGTACCGCAGGATTTTTTTTTAATTTCGATATTTTCCAGGTGGGAAGATTTAATTGGAACACACTGTATGAAGGAGAGTGCACTGAAACTGATTGTTTTATTTTAATACTATTGAATGTTAGGTCCGCTACATTGCATTTAGTGAAAAAAAGTATGTTAATGTACCTGTAAGAATATCTGTATAGTAGTTAAAGATTTATAAAACGGTTTGATGTAGGAATTTGTGAAAATATGACACATTGTTCCCTTTGTAGCAGTCTCGATATATTCATAGCGTTTACCTTTTTTTGTTAAGTAAAGTCAGTATTTATCTTTTTTTGCGTTAATATATCAAGATAGAGTTATCACTTAAAAAGTAATTTCCTAGTTTGTAAACACCCAATACAATCATACCTGTGATGTCCTTAGCTCTGGACCGGTCCCTCCACGTTTCTAGTACAATATCAACAATAAATAGTGCATCGTCAGCGTTTTCCATAAGATTTTCCATGGGAATATTGAGAGAAGAAAGCTTTTTCTTTGGTTTGTTATCCTGACCAATTAACACCACAGGGAAATCAAAAGATTCTTTGGAATACAGCTGATTGTCGAACTGTATATCAGACATAGATATTTTCACCTTCATATTCTGAAACGAGAAATATGAATTCCATTGAAGCATTGGTTAAAACTCTGCCTATTGTTTTCATCTTGAAATGTAAATTGCTACAGGAACTCGTATATTGTGAACTTTTCTCACCTCTGCTTGTGTGGCTGAAAGCACAAAGTCATCACAGACCATATTTGCCAATTCCCACTTTTCCGTCCCTTCTTTTTCCATATCGGACATCAAGATAACAGCGAAAGATTTCACATAAGTTTCAATTTTAATAGATCTCCACTTATCTTTCATCGGCAACGTATTCACGAGCAGTGTTTGGGGCACCGATGACATCGTAGAAGTCATGTTAGTTTCCGACCACCTCCTTACCGCTCTAGAAGGCAGGGCTAAGGAATTGACGTATAGCTGTTCGGTCACAGTGGGAAGTTTTTGGAAGGGAGATCTACTACTTCCTGCTAGGGAGGTATCGGATAAAGAATGGGACAAGTCGCCTAAATTATGCAACTCGTTAGAGGCACCTTTTGTTTCCTGAAAGAAAAATAAGTCTAACAAGGAGGCTTCCTTACTTACGAAATGTATCTCACTGTTTTCATTTTCGAAGATATCTCATTTTCATGCAAGGTTAGTCGCACTCTGATATCTCTGGCGCTTATCTCAACCTATATTAAAATAGATTTTGTTAAAAGAAATTGTTGAGAAGTAAAAACGCTAACTTACTTGGCTCACAGAATCGATTATTAAGAATGTCGTACAGGCACTATTTACTATCGTCAGTCTAATATCTCCATAGTAAGGAATTCTAACAAATTGCTCATTGTCGTTTATTATACTAATACTGGTCGACCACTGAAAATCGATTTCGTCACCTGAAAAGACACTTTCAATTATCACAACCATCCATCACATAAAAAACTTACTTTCGGGATCACACGCTAGTGCAAGCTTATCCGAGAAGTTATTCTGCGGCAACTCAGGGAACTTTTCTGACAAGAAGGGCATGGTATAATATACGCTTCCGAAACCAGGCACGTGGCACTGCCACTTAAAATGTTGCACCTCCATGGCCACTTTACTGTCTCCTAGAGACTGGGCGCAGAATAATGTTGCAGGAGTTTTATTTTCTATGAGCATCTGTGGCCTATTATCGTTGTGTATAGCTAAGAATATTTGTCCTCTATGCTCCTGGGAGGTCAAAACGAGAGGAACGGGATGCTCTTCGCTTGCAACGCAGAAAGATTTTCTCAGGAGAGGCTTGTCAACTCTTATGGGACAGGACCAGCCCAGTTCAGGTTTCACGCAGAACACCATATAAAGTGTGTATTCAGTGTTGCAGTCACAATCGATACCGTTTTTAATGATCTGCCATTGGATTATTGGTACACCAGAATTACTGAAAATTGGTAATACAATCGGTTTTTATTAAATAAATAAATCGGAGTAGACAATTTCTAGGTTTTCTCTATGGTAAATACCATACATCATTAGATATATAGGAGAAGAGGGTTTGGCTAATTATCGGCATTGCCCACAGTTTTACAAGTTAGGCTTTCCTTGGCTAGAGAGCAACGCAGTCAATACTGNATACATCATTAGATATATAGGAGAAGAGGGTTTGGCTAATTATCGGGATTGCCCACAGTTTTGCAAGTTAGGCTTTCCTTGGCTAGAGAGCAACGCAGTCAATACTGTCAGATCTAAGGCCGATTGCAAACACAGCCACGTGTGGTCGCCACTGGTGGCTGCTAGACGCTGCAGACTGTATTTTGTATATAGTTTAAATAGGTTCAGCGCAAACACACTGTTGGCAGTGGCTCGATCGAGCCACACGCTGTGGCAGAAGTCGTACCTCGCTGCTTGTAGCCGACGAGAGCCACTCTTCTTTCGGCGCAAACACAGTCCACAGCGTCCACAGTCTATCGCCACCGTGGTACATTTTCTGAAATTACGAGCACGGAAATGGTGAACAATACAGACGAAGATGTATTTATATCCGAAATTGAAAATCGTCCTGCTATTTGGGATATGCGGTCTGACCTATACTCCAACAGATCAGAAAAAAAATCATGAAAAGTGGCGGCCACTAGTTAAAAAATTAGCCGCACGTGGCGGCTATCTGTAGTGAATACTAGTAGTTGCTTCTAGCCACTTGTGGCGACCACACGTGGCTGTATTTGCGATCGGCCTAAGGTGCCTCAAAGAGTTAATTTATTGCTTAAAGTATTGTAATACCACAATAAGAGAAATAAATGTAATTAATACTAATAAATGCGTAATTTGTCAAATCTGAGAGCATCGAAAGAATGGGATCCTAATGGCCTTCAAATGTAATGTTGGTGGGTAAACATCAGCCTTTGACTTATCTGAGCATTTTATTGGTAGTCCAATCGAATTAGATTTGTACGTGCCAAAATTTAGTTCAGTAAACAAAGACACGTAAAAATTAGGAAAAATTCCGTAAAATTCAATGAACTACTTACCAAAGCTGAAACAGCTTTTTCCATTAAAAAAAAAACATTTTAGAAAAAAACGTTTTAGACAACAGTTTAATTTTTTATAACAAAAATTTGAGCCCAGCCCGATGTCAAATTATAAACAAATTTATTAATTATTGCAAAAAAATGGCTAAAAATCGCATTTATGTTTAAAACGAAAAAAATTTTTTTTATGAAACTCAGAATATGTTGTCCTTGGCAAGAAGAATAAGTGCGTTTTCATAAAATTGCAAAATATTTTATAGTTTTTGCAAAAATTTAGTTTTTTGAAGACATTTTTTTCAAATTGCAATAAATCATACATTAAAGCACTTACGTGATCCATTTTGGGCTTAAAATTTTCTCTAAGAGTTCAGGGTTCATAGTTCAAAAGTAATATAGAATTTCCTGACTTTTTCAGACTTATAAAAAAAAATCCAGGTCATTTGTTCATTTTTACTGACTAATTGGTGTTTATGCATTAGACTTTTTCTATACTCGATTCCATAATCTTTTTTTTTTTACCCAAAGAACCTCTTATAAAGGTTTCAAGACCATAAATAGTTTTCTCTTTTGAAGAACCCGGCTTTCACAAAATTTCCAGTTGCAAGCATCAAATTCCCTGACTTTCATGACATTTTTAAAATTCCCTGATTATTCTCGGTATTCCCGGTTTTCCAGGCTACTACGAAGCCTGGAATAGTACTGTCCTGTGTAAATTGTGCGCGTATTGCAAAATAATTGCAAATATGCAATCTACCGAAACTTTGGCTTCTTTTTTTGGGTCGTAAAATATAGATCTCTTTTTTATCATTGAAATTTAATCAGAATGGCATTATTGCCATTTGAAAGCTGATATTTTTTCACAAATTAAAAAAAATGTTCCGTGACCAACAGGTGGTGAGAAATTTTTTTTCAAAAAATTGCTACGACCTCATTTATTAATATTAAGGTCTGAAATTTACACAGGTTATAGTTGAATACTTTTTCTTCCAGACCGCTACGAACCCTGGAGTTGTACTTTCCGGTATAAATAGTGCGCGTATAGCAAAATAACTGGAAATGTGCAAAAAATCTACTAAAACCTTGACTTCTTTTTCGGGTAGAAAAATGTAAATCTTTTTTTATAGTGAAATTTAATCGGAATGGTATTATTGCCATTTGAAAGCTGACATTTTTTCACGAAATAAAAAATAGTCTGCAATGATTGACCCCCCTTTTTACAGTAAACTTAATTTTGTTGGACCCCGTAAAATGCTTGCTCCGCTCAACACGTTGATACGTATGGTGGAGGGAGAATGACTGTGATGCGACTGTTGTATTTGTCAATTCTGTAGTGTAAGAGTAGCTTTAGTGTTTTAAACTTAAAGTGTTAATTGCTGAATTGACAATATTTTAATGTAGGACACGGTTCAACTGTGAAAGGTAAAAGAGAGAATAAATTATACTAAGTCCAAGAAGGTTGTCTTATTAATTTTCTCCACATTCATTCAAGTAAAATAAAATTAAATGAAATAACTGGCAACTCGAATATTACAATTCTACGTAATGAACTCAGTTAGCCAGCAACCATTTTGAAAATGAAGTCCAAACATTCAGCTGGGGTAAAGTAGTTCATTCCATTATACGGAATTTTTCCTTACTGTTACGTGTCTTCGTTTACTGAATTAAATTTTGGCAAAAAAACGAGGTATTTTCGACAATTTGACTGGCCTATGGTGCCACTGTTTCATGTTGAGTGTCAAAATTGAAGTTTTCTTTTACAATTTTTTAAAAGTTTTGTGGTGATCTTTTTGAATTGTCATGTACTTGTGACTTTTATTAAACATCCGATGTACACGATGAACAAAAAAAATTGGATTTGACGTACTATATCTCCTTTAATTGGGTAATTATAATAAATAATAAACAATCTCTTGTGCTAAAATGATCAATCAAGGGTTTACTTAGTTAATAGCATACCTTTTGTGAAGGTGTGGGGCAACCGTGAAACTATATTGCTCGATATTTCTCGGGATTTCATACAATTTATCACCTTCGGGCACTGCAAAGCAAATAACCTGCATCTGCATGGTCATGTGATTGGAAACCACATGGGTGGACGACACCCTCAACAATCTTATTTCATTAGCGACGGAACTGCTCAAAGCCACTGTACAGATGTGAGTGTCACCTTTTATGGTCGTTTTTATAGACCCTTCCAATGGTATAGTTCCTGTGAACTTTGGCATATAAAAAGTCTGACTCCAATCGGATTTGGCCAATTGTAGTGGCCCAGAAAAGTACCAGGAACCACCGATGTATACGGCGAGATTGAAGTTTTCCTACAAAAAAATAAAATAACAATTATAGTCTTAAATTTTATTTAGAGAACAATTTTTCTACCTCTAGTTTTGGAGGTGCTACAATGCCATGATGCTGTAAACGACACAACTCGGTACTGCTAAACATTATAGCAATCGGAGTACCTAAAGTATTAACCATGAGGCACCACGGAATTAATTCCACCAGTAAAGAACATGAGTGTAAGCATGCGTTTTGGTAACGAACCTAAAAACACATAAATTATGATTGTATTATAATAAATAACCGCCATACCCTACTTGAACATGAGTCAACGGTTGATCTTCAACAACCCAATCGATATTATCCAACTCGTCCCCAAAATATGGCCACTTTGATTCACTAAATTTACTCAGAACACTCAATATCTCATCTATGTCTTGCTTTTCTGATTTCTTAAAGAATTTCTGATGGTTTACGAGGCTGTAATTGAGCGGAACATAGGGATTTGCCAAGGAATTCGATTTGCTGTAAAAAATTAGCAGTTAATAATGCCAACTACTTTCACAACAAAACCCTTACTCTAGTTTAAAAGTTAACTGGTGGGAATGGTCAATAGTACCAGGACAATAGAGCTGCTGTAGCTCTCCTTTGCCTTTCACTATGGCATCGAGTCTTACGTTAAGAGTAGGAGTTTCGATGTGCACCTGAGCATTCATCGGAAGATTTGATTTTACTGTGAACAGTGGCCAGAGCACGGCAAGTGTCCGTTTCACCCTCTGAATTTCCTGGATCACTATGCGGCACCATATGCTGAGAAATTGGCCCCTCTCTTGAAGAGGAACTGAGAAGGAATATATTTTAATAGACAGGGAGGGAAATTACAATGAAAAATAATTTTGTAAAAACACGACTGTTTTTGTATGACTTTGCGATATATTATTTTAAAGTCACTTTATTTTTTTGATGTCAATATGGACGTAGTGCTGAACATTAAAAAATTATTTAGTGTTTTTAAAAAATTAATATTTCTTGGATGATTTACCAAATTTTAATAAATATTGGTATGTGGATAGGCATACGTTACTAAATACAAATAAATAAAAAGTACTTGTTACCATTTTTTTAAAGCATTGTGTTTAGTTCGTGAGTTTTAGTGTAGATGAACTACATGATATCAATCCACCTGATGTATGACATTAACTTGGACAAAAGAAGAATAGACAAATATCACTTTATTTTATTACACATTCTAAAGAAAGCAATATTTATTCGAAGGTCCCAACAACTATATTTAAAATATGAAATGTAGGATATTTCCGTTTCCAGTTTCATGTATGGTTACATGGGTGTAATAAAATGTTCTACAGGGTGTATCTAAATAACATTGCCATTTTCGGCAAAATTCACTGGCGGTAAATAGCTTATCTTTTTAAAAATGCATTGCAATACAGTTACTTTTTTCTCATAAATCCTTAACTTTTTGAAAAAACTTAGTAAATGAATGGGGCTTTTTAAACATATTTTTTATCGAAAAAAATTATAAGAACAATGTCATAGAGGTTGATTATTTCAACTTTCAACCCCTTACAAAAATACTTCAGTGTTGAAAAAATTTCAAAAAGTAGTTTTTTTGACAGATCCTGTTCACCAAGTATGATTTCTTTAGCTTGATATACATGGAAGATAAAAAAGAAAAACAATTTGTTTTCGAAATTTTTGGAGGGGCGTAACTTTTCAGGGTTTTTTAAATTTATACCAAAGACTCCTATTAATTTTCATCAGAGAATCGCCCCTTTACATTTTTTCAGTGTTATTTAGATACACCCTGTATATATCCATGAAGGTGAAATAAAATTCTCTTCAGTCATGATTAATAAAAAATATCCTTGCCAAAAAAAAGTTTTGGAGAAACATACATTTTCAAAGAACACAGATACACAGATAACCTTAAAAAGTATATTAATTGAACTTGTGCACAAGCTCATATTTTAATTTGGGCCGCCAAATCAACTATAGTACGTAGAGTTACCAGACGTTCAGATTGATTCAGACATGTTTGGGTTTTTATTACGTCCGGGTGGGTCCGGGCGGATTTTTCACAAATGTCCGGATTTTAAAGTAGTTGCCTTTATAAACATCAAATAATGCAAAATACAAAATAATAAACTAGTTTTAAAAAATGTAGTTATTTAACTGTTTGAGTGGCAAGCAGCGATTTTGCGCTTCTTCTGTTTCGTTCGAAAAGTACCAGCGCTCTAGGCCGCGCGGCATCAGTGTGTCAATCGCTTGCCTAATCTGGCATGCGAGGCAGCAGTAGGCCTAGGCAGCAGATTTTGGGGAAAGAAATAGGCTGCTATTATTTTCTGTGAAAGGTTAAAAAGAAAGGTGTTAAAAAGTATGAGCTGTTCAGTTTTACGATTTTGTGCTTTTGCCAGAAAATTTAACTCTTTTAAATAAAATACAAAGCAGCGAAAAGTACCTGTAAAGTGATTCAGTTGTATAACACAGGTACAAAAAAAAAAATGTCAAGACCCAGAGCGTAGACCCGCTAACCCTCCGTTTTTGGAGCCACTGAAACCGAATATGATCATAAAAAAAAATTAACTAGCCATTTCCCCGTTACCACCCCCATACACCCCCTTCTGGGAGTACAAAGTCGAGTAGTGTGAGTATTCGTATGTTTTCTGGGCCACTAAGAACGAAGAAGACTACCAGGAATGAATAAGACCCCCTCGTTACCCCCTACGTCACTTTACCACCCCCATACACATACAATTGAAGTATCAATTTTCATACAAAAAGTCGAGTGGGTTGCCGAAAATGAATCCAACTCCCTCGTCAACCCTCAGCACCCTTTGCCACCCACATACACACCCTTATGAGGGTTGGAATGGCAATTTTCATACAAAGTCAAGTGGGGTATGATTTTGATACGAGTCCCCTCGTCTCTCATAGTTCAGGGTACTTCTTCAACCATAAGTCCCCTCGCCTTTCCGAAATTGGAGTACTTTTTCAACTGTAAATCTCCTCGCCTCTCACGAATCAGGGTGGTTTTTCAGCCATAAGTTCCCTCACCCCTCACGATTGTTCAACGTGTGAACCCTCTTATTTCTCATGAACTGGTAGGTTTTCACACGAACACCCCTTGGAAAGTTGAAAAAGTACTCCGATTTCGGAAAGGCGAGGGGTCTTACGGTTGAAAAAGACCCTGAACTATGAGAGACTAGGGGACTCGTCTCAAAAGTTACCCCGAATCACACCCCACTTGACTTTGTATGAAAAAGGGTGTTGAGGGTTGATGAGGGGGTTGGATTCATTTTCGGTAGTCTTTTTTGTTTTCAGCAGCCAGAAAACGTAGGCATACACAACCCTCTCAACTTTGTACGAAAATTGACACTTCAACCCCCATAAAGGGGTGTATGGGGTGGTGGTAAAATGACGCTATGGGGGTAAAGACGGGGTCTTATTCATTTTTGGTAGTCTTCTTCGTTCTTAGTGGCCCAGAAAACATAGGAATATACACCCTACTTGACTTTGTATGAGAATTGACATTTCAACTCCCAGAAGGGAGTGTATGGGGGTGGTAATGGGGAAAAGGCAAATTAAATTTTTTTGTATGGTTATATTCGGTTTCAGCGACCCCAAAAATGGAGGGGAAGGGGGGGGGGTCTACCCTCTGGGACTAGACATTTTTTTTGTGTGCCTGTGTAATAATCATTAATCAATAGATAATCTGAAAGTTGTTACTTTGCTAAAAAAATTATGGCAGGATTTTGCCCGGATTTTCTTAAAGTCCTGGGTGGACAAGCTTTCATCTGGTAACCCTAATAGTACGTAAATGCATATAATTCAGACCTTGTCTAACAAATTGTGCCATCTATTACATTTTCTTAAAAACACCATCTACACTAAATTACTTCTAAAATTACCTTTGACCAGCCACGGTTGGGACCCTGTTGCATGTTCCCGCAACGGTATATCGCCAGTCCAAGCCGATTCCAAACCATAAAACCTTAACCTCATGATATAAGTTTTCTTGTTGTTAGTGAAAATTGAAAGCGTGGAAGACTTCCCAGGAATGATGTACGTTGGACTATTTTTAAACTCTGCTTCTCTGTTACCATTGACAGCTTCCATAACCTTCAATTCGAAATGCTCCACCAACATATTGGTGACGGTAAGTTGCCCGGATATAGTGACCTGTTTCTGAGTGGCAGAAAGCGATTTGATGGAAACCAACATAACGAGATTCTTTTCAGAGTTAAACTTGATGGTTTGCATGCCGTCCTCGAAAATAACAAATGACTTTGACCAAATCCAATTGTTTTCTTCCAAAGCCACCTTGAGCATCAGCTTCCTCCTCTGAGACCTCCAAGTATACATATTGAAGTGGTTCGGTGGTAAGAGGATGTCTTCGTCCGTTCCGGTTTGTCCAAAACGGATGTTTATATTTGTATTGTTACAAATAATATATCGTGTCATTATTATGAAATCTTGTTCTCCCATTTCGTTAGTTTTGTAGGTTTGTTCCCACTGCTGGCTGCTCACCGCCAAAGTGTGCGCTATACTTGGATCAAATTTCACAACTATTGGCCTTGAAATAAATTTGCAGTGTAAGTTGTTTGCTAAGTTGATCTCTAACTTGGACATGAACGGTTCTATCAAGGGTTGTTCGGTTAGGAATGAGTAATCCAATACAGAACATTTCGTAACAGTGTTTAGCTCCATGGAGATGACTTCAAATTCCCAACTGGAGAAATACGCAGTTAAATTGTCCCAAGTTAAAGTCAGGAACTTTTGAGACTCGGGAAACTGGAGATCGGAGGTATAATTTTTTAGATAGTTAGGAAGTTTCCATTTCGAGTGTTTATTAAAGTGGCTGTACAACGAAACGTCTATTTTAGTCACATATAAGGCCGCCGTGATATTTGGGATGAGAGTTTTGTTGAAATACGAATCAATCCTCATGCAAGCAGCCAAAGCTCTGGGAGATATCAAGGTGCTGTCTGGCATATCCTCCTTATCGGCAACCATGGTTATCACAACTCGCCAAGTTGACGCAACGACAGGCTGAGGCGAGTTTTCTGGTAGAGTTAAGTGGCACACTTCGCTTTCCGATAGGTAAAACTGGGTGAATGGCAAGTAACAATTCCTGCACTCGGACCAATACTCCAAGTGGCACAGAACCAACAAATCCTCTTGAAAGCCGAGTGTCATCTTGTACGGCACCGGAAACACCCTTACTTTAGTCAAAGCCCTTGGTTGAGGGTAGCGCCAGGCCATAGCAGACAGACCCCTGTTCCAGAACATGACCTGATAAGGAAGAGGCAGTTCGTCTGCATTGTCAGAATTAGAGTCGATGAATTGAAAGGCGCCTGCTCTCAAATCGTCTTTATAGTGCTGATCCTTTTCCAAAGGTTTCGGTCTTAGGATTTCAAACGTTAAATCCTCATCAGTTTTTTCTTTTAAAGGTAGATTGGAAACAAACTCGGTGATGTCTTTCACGACGATCTCGACACACTTGATTTGTTCCGGACTGACATCCAACACGATACAATCGCTTTCAGCTGTGACTTGAATCTGAGGATTGCTGTCGAGGCTCTGCCAAGATTCCCAAAACAGGCAGAATTCAAACGATAACGTCCAAGGGTTTAAAAGGACTTTTTTAAACTCATCGTTTATTACCGACAATGTTATAGATTCCAATTTTAGAGTGCTGGTTAATTTTTCTGGACGACTTGACAACGTTAGATGACTTTTGAGTTTTTCTATTCCCAGATTGACTTCGTGTCCTGTGTCTGATCTAATTGAGAATATCATCTGGTTAAATCTAACATTGACAGAGTTCGTACCGCACAATAAATCTTTGATTTCTTGAAATTTGCTGTATGTATCTCCAATTTTTGTTCTTGTATATGATGGAATTTCAACTGGAGTTGCAGCTTTGGTGATATTTTTTGAAATAACCACAAGGTTTCTTTGGTTGCCTCTAAAAGTGTCCAGCACTTTATCTTTTACTGTTAACAGATAATTCCATTTAGAGGTAGAGCATAAAATCTTCGTTGGTTTGGATATGTCCATATCTAAAGTAGCATTTTTGCCTATTCCCTTGGAATATTTCATCGTGAAAAATGCAGGTAATATGCCAGTGTTAGGATGTGGAATTCCTGACCTTGTTTCTAGAAGGCTTATGGAGAAATCGTCTTCGGTAGGGACGTGCCCGATGGGCATATATTCTGGACCGTTCAATTTTAGGTTCAGGTCAAAACAAGAAATTTGCATTCTTCTTCCTATTTGCTGTTTCGACAAAAAAGCATTTGGTTGGTTAATATATACGTAAACTAACGGAATATATGTTTTTTCAGATTTATCGTCGACACTCTCTTCCTCTGCTTCATAACCTAAATCTTCATCTATCTTTATTTTAGGTTTTTTCTTCTTTCCTTTATGTCTAGAGGAAACCGTCCTGGTCATATCAGTCTCATAAAGAGCTAAAGCAATCTTGCCAGCAGTGAACAGGGCCTCTATCGGCACCGCAGAATAAGCTTGAGGTAAAGGATTAGGTGGTCTCGGAAAGACAGGTTGTTTCTCACTTTCTATAATGGTTTTAACTGTTGTGACGGTGCCTTGAACTTTCGACGAAAACACACTTTTCATATCAGACATGTCTATACCCGAATCACGCAAGATATCAATGTTTACTGAAGTTTCTATTTCCTCCTCTATTTTATATTGAATAGCATCGAGGGAGTACGGAAATTGAAGTTTTGGCCTCTTCATTAAGCCTTCGTCTGCAATCATTGGCTCTACTAATAACACAAATTCACTCAACAGAGCAGATAACAGTTTAATTTGCTGCAAGGATAAATTTACAAAGATATCTGTTACAAAATTAACCTCGAGAGAATGTCCGCATATTATCGTTGTGTCTTTGTAGACCATAGCAGGAGCTGCGATAATGGAAATGTCAAATTTCTCAGTAACATGCCACAAATTCAAAGTTGGCGCCATATTTGGTTGGCCTTGTTCTAGATTGTTCCATTCCAAAGCAGGATTTTCACTCAAGCCACGAAGATTAGACAAACCTCTAGAGGGTGTGAACACCAAATCTAAATCTTTCCAAATGCCCGTACAGATTATCATCCCATTTAAGTCTAGCTGGTACTGTCTGTCTTCTACCTCACTTCCTGTAGAAAAATGAACACGTAAGTACAATTATTATCAACAAAGAGAAATGGGATGACATTTTCAGAAGTGGGATTTTATGACCAACTAACCTGGAATATGTAAAATTCTGGCGTGAGCTGCTTGCTCGTAAATGTCAGGCCTTAGAGGAGTCCTACAAATTGGATTTACCGCTGTGGGACTCAAACAAATCTTCTGTACCTGAAATATAATGACATCGTGCAATGCGCCACTTCCTCCTAACTCAACAGACGGCATAACTATTCGAATATCCTGGCAATCCAAATATGCCAACGGCAAAGCTTGATTGTTTAAACTAGTGACAGTATTAGAAGTGACATTTTTTGGAGCATTATCTTCATCTAAAGGTATCTGAAGTAGAGGTACCAGTACTAGATAAAAACTTCTTAAAGTGTGAAGCGATATGACGAAATCTATTGGCTGAACATTTATGACAATTTCCGTTATATATCGAGACTGAGATAAAAGTTGCTGGTTAACGGTAACACTTTTCTTATCCTTGTTCCTTTTCTGCACAGCGCCCCATAATGTGTGGGTATGTCGACAGCTGGCTCTCGTTATAGTCAAACTTATGAAACCGTTATCCTCATGCCGTTGGCCTGTTGTGATGTCTTCCCGTAGTCTCATGACGATGCCTGCGAAAGGTCCGGGTTTCCACTTGGAATTGGGAGTCGTTCTGAAGAAACAAAATATACATTTTTTTGATGTTTTAAGATTGCTGTAGTATGATGCTTAAAGTAATAGTGTGACAAATCCAATTATCCATTACTACCTACATTACCACATCCTTACATAGCCTTTAATTGTAAAGACAAAAATTAGTTCAAATAGTAATTCAATAATTTTAAGTAGGCATCAATTTTTTAGAAGCAATAGTGAATAATTGACTCATAATTTAATTTTCGAACTTGACTTAAACTGTTGTCTTGTATTATCATTGTGGCGATAGTGTTTACATTAGTTTTCCAAGTGTCAAAAATGGCTTACTTGGTATAGCAGTACATATAGCAACTCGGGAGTTGATGGTATCTTTTTAATTTATGATGAATCAAGATAACATTTGTGTTATGGTGAAGTATTTATTTGTAAACGATAACGATAATAAATGTTTTAAAAAAATTTAAATTTTTTGCATGATTAATTTAAATATTAATTAAGTGTCAATGACCTCTGACATTGACCTACTTAAGGTGAACGACCTACATAATTTTAATGCTCTAGCCCTCATATAAATATGACTTTCATAGAAAGTTAATTGTAAAATACGATTTTAAGTAATTTTTTATATGTATATTGTTGTGTGTGATGACAGTGTGTGTTAAGAGGATTATTGGGATTTGTTAAGGTGAACGACCTACATAATTTTAATGCTCTAGCCCTCATATAAATATGACTTTCATAGAAAGTTAATCGTAAAATACGATTTTAAGTAATTTTTTATATGTATATTGTTGTGTGTGATGACAGTGTGTGTTAAGAGGATTATTGGGATTTGTTATTTACATAATTTTAAGGAACAGTATAAGGTGATTCAGAACATATCCAAAAAAAATTTTGAAAGTACAGGGTACTCTTTACAAATACAATTTAGTAAAAAAAAATCAAAAAGAGCAATTCGAAAATGATTTAAAAACACACTTCTGCACGGTACTGGAAACTGGTCCACTGTAAAACCTGACCTCACGTAAGGCAAAGCATGCAGTTGGCAACCGGCATGGAGGCAAAGTGTAATAAAAAGTGAACGGACAAAAAATTGAAAGAATTTCTCTCCCAAGGAAAGAAATAAATAAAATTTTATAACACCTATTTTATATCAGCAAATTCAACTGCTTTGGCCACTATTGTTATTATAAATGAATAAAATTAATTTGTGGTTTTAATTAATAGAATAATTTGCAGTGCCGGTTTTAGACAGGCCCAGGTCAAAATGGTATATAGATAGTATATTCTATTTTCAATAAACATTTTTGTATTATATAGACGAGATCACTTCAGGCCCATAGGCCTGGGCCTATGAGGCCTAGTCAGAAAAACGGCCCTGTTAATTTGACATACCTGATGTTACAACTTTTCAAAATTTTGTCCACCAACGTGTAACACATTAGGATTTGTCTTATACACAGTTTCTACAAATTAACACAAATGTCTTGCTTCACCATAACACAAATGTTGTCTTGCTTCACCAAATTAAAACAATATCCATCAACTCTGAGTTGCTATACACGTAAGACATATTAAACACTTGAAAAACTAATGTAAACACTATCGCAACAACGATAATACTACAATCAGATTTTAGTATTCGTAATCGCTTGGGGCCATGTGGGCGAATGATGCTAAGACTACAGTAGGCCAGCGATATAAAGGTTGAAAATACTACAACTTCAATAATTTTTTTCTCGGAAACTATAAGGATTTTACAAAAATTTTATTTTACGATATTGATTCCATCTTTCATGACGCATAAATTCCCAAATTTTTTGGATAAGTTGTGAATCATCCTGTTTATTGATAGTAAATGTATTCCATAAAATTGTTAGAAGTTATTTTAAAAAGTAAAGAGTATGTACTTGCACTTTAGGACGTGTATTACTATACACGTGATTGTGTATTACACATCTTTAAATTATATATTATGGCTAAAGATATGACGAATTAAGTAAAAGAGAAATTTATTTTCTTTAAAAATTAATTTTTGTTTAATTCTTTGCATAATTTGTTGTTTTAGTCTCTTAAACATGTAACATTATTGCTGATGTTAGTGCGACATTGTGTATAAATGTTGAGTACTTGGTAATTTAGCTAGTAACAACTTACCTCTTAAAATGTAGTATGGACATGGATCCAATTTTGCTCTTAATCTTTAAATAAACGCTTTGAAAATCCAGCGAACTAACGATGTCTTCAGCGTCCATGACTAATTTCAATCTAGGCTGCAAGGACTCTAGTTCAACCTCAGACTTCAAATATTCGCTTGATAGTAGCTCAATTGTGAATCGAGTTATAGTCCACTGTATCCAAGCAGTTAGCTTTACACTTTCATTGTCGATGTTCTCCTGCGTGACGTTATTTATTGGTGGTGTTTTTTCGCTTTCCGAATCCATTGTATTTTCCCTTAATATCGTAGGTGATAAAGTCGAACTGCCTTTGGTTATAATAGGTGGAATTACATCGGGAGTTTTAGGTACCGGTTTTGGTTTTTCTGGCAGTAAATTAGTAGCCACTTCCATGAGACCATATAAAATACTTGCAAAGAGGTACACCTGAATTTCGGAAGTTGATATTACGATGGGTGTCATGTCTATGTGCACACAAATCCCTAGGTATCCTATATCCGTTTTCATACTAGTACTCGGACTGCCGATTGGGGCTTCTGCACTTTCTTTCTCATCAACTTTAGTAGGACGCGTTGACAAGCCAACGGTAGCACTCAGAGAAACGGGTTTTAAAAAAATCAATTTATTTCCGTACTGGATAGTGTAACAACTGAGCTCAGATATTGACATTGTCCAGGGAAAGCTAGATTTTTCCGGTGACCATATACTTTCTGGTAGCGTTACTGGTAGCAATTTGAGGTATTTTGAAATGTTTTGCCTTTGCGCGCTGCGTACATTTGCAAACGGTAACGTTATGACCATTATGTCGGGAGGGTGATCCTTGTTCACCGCTTCTTCCACTGCTTCTTGAATACCTATCAATAATATGTGGTTTACATTAAAGACGAAGAAATTGTGTCAATAATTACCTTGTGATCCGACCGCAGACAGGGACTTCAAAGGAAAATAAATCGTGCACTGAGAAATGTCACCGTAGAGGAGCATTCCTTTCCAAACGTCGAACCAGGTTTTCAAAATGTTGTAAATCCTTTCTTGCATATCTACACTATCTTCTTTATTCGGGAGTTCAATTTTTCGGGGCAATTGGATTGGTTCCCTGTCAGAGCTACTGTGTACGGATTCTATCTGGCTACTCATACGTCTTGGAGTTTCCGCAATGCTACCGCTAGCTTCGGAAATGCTTTTCGTCTTGTGCATTGTTGCATCTAAAAATGGGCGATTATAAAAAATATACTGGATGTGATTAAAACTAAACTTACCTAGAGTGTCACTGAGAGAACTTATTTGTTTCGGTTTATATAGCAACCAACGACAGAGAAGAGGATCAATGCATATTCGAATTTCTTGTAAGTTAAATAACACTATGGGTGGATGTTTTTGTAAATCTGGGGATAGAGGGTACTGCAAAGTGGCAGTGAAGAGTGGTAAATTTTCATTAAGCCTAGAAAAATAATAATTGTAATTTTAAATGATTAGTTCAATAAAAATGTTTACCCAGCATTTTTTTCATTTCGTTTTTCAGCAGGTTTAGGTTCTGGTCCAGAAATGAACAGAACTTGCTGAATATCTCTAGTAACAAAATTACTACTAAAGTCCCTCTTGTTTCCATGATTCTGTACATTATCCTTGTTTGAAGTGAGTTTTATATCTACCGGTTCAAAAATGAACGCCTTTACGGATCCCAGACTCACGTCGATTGAAATTGTTGCATTTGTTACCACTTTTTTGAATTTTATTCCTTCTATACACAGCTCCATATAGGGAAGGCCTACACAGAAAGTTTCAACACTTCCATCAACATTTTCTTTATTATTGTATCTACTCACCACTATCTTTGGTAGCATCCAGTAGCAACGAAGTGTTATTCATCATCTTCCAACACCCTTCCGAATCCATTTTAATCATCTTTCCAATTATATAAGCAATCACCATCATTTTAGCATTTGTCCCGTTCAAAGTGATACTTTCCGATTCAAATATCATTTCTATATGGGGAATATCGGGATTCGTCCAGTACAGCGGTTTAAGGATTGTCTTGCAAGAATAAGAGAGGTTCGACGGAGTCAAAATAGTTGTATGTCGTTCTGGACCGAGTATCAGACGACTGCAGAGACTGACAACTTTAACATTCAGCCAAGAAAAGCAAGCGTCGAACATTTTTTGTGGAGGATCTGGCAGTTGACATGTTGTGTGAACGACACGGTTAACGTACATGGGATTATCTATGGTTATATCCAGAAACTGGCATTCGATGGTTAATTTCGGCAAGTCTAAGGATGATTGTGCGAATGGAGAGGGTGTAGTCATTTTCTGTAGGCAAAAATGTATCGTTATAGGTACTTTCAAGTACCCGAAACAGATAAAAAAAATCTTCTATTCTACATACATTTTTGATTAATTTGCATATTAAATGTATGGCATTTATCTGCGGTTACATTGTATATTCCAAAATAAAAAAATAACAGTTTTAAGACTAGATAGTACCATTTGTAACTGTAAGATTTACGCTGATGTACTGAATTATTATTAATAAAGACATTTATTATTATTATTATTTAATTTACTTCAGACATTAAGTTAATTCAATTTAAGGGGGCGTCTACATGCACAATTTTTTGTTCAGCATTTTAGAAAATCTAAACGAGTTAGAAACAATATCTCTTCACTGTACCAATTATACATGTTTTCTTCAGGGTATAAGACAATTGAAAATACATTCAAAATAAACAAAAGCATATTTTTACTTCGTATATCTATCTTACGCTTGCTGAATTTTGCAAGCCTGTTGAACATACAAAAAACCGAGTACAGTACTATAAACATAGTCACATCCAGCAGAACGCTTTTAGTAAACTATTAACACATTAGTCACAATTATTGAATATCTTTACAAACTTGTTAGATAAAATAGGAAAGGTAGATTTTTTGATGTTTACATGTTCTCCCTGATCTTTCAATACGAAAAATTATAAAGAAGTTGGCTCTAGTTTAGCGTTATGTTTAATTACTTCCGGGGTGGGTCTATCATTGTCATACTAAAAATGGAATTTCTTGTCTATAAAACGCCATCTTTAAGTCTTCTATATTCTTTCATCTCAAAATAAGATATTTTTTCTAAAACTGAAAAAAAAAACAATTTGGGACAAAGAGTTACTTAAAATTCAGTCATGATGACATCTGTACTTTAAGAGTTATTTTTTTCCTTTTAAAAATGTAATTAATAGTTGTATTAATTTAAATACAGTGAAAATTGGTTATAACGACATCACTTTATATGAAATATTGGATATAACGACGGAAGTCCCGATTAATTCCTATAGAAATACCATATTAAAAATATCGTTTACTACGACATCGTTTACAACAACATTTCGGATTGCGTTGCGTTTTTATATACATTTACCATAGAATCTGTCGGTTGTAACAACCAATAGTGATATACGGCCTTAAAACCAATGCACCACTCTTCCGCCCGCCGACATCCATGCTTTTGACACCAGTTAGCATGTTTGGGACAAATTACGACTTATCTATGCATACAGTTATATTAAATGTATTAATTACCACTTTCTATCACGATATGGGAGAGAAAAGTTTTAATAAAGAAGAAAAATCACATATAATATAGAGACTAGAAAACGGTGAAACTAATGCAAGCAAGTAAAAGAATGTGCACTACAATTTAAACAATTTGGATGGATAGAAATAAAGTCTCTATTCAAAAACAATTCACTGAAAATGATGTATTGTAAATTTTTCATTTTTTGTATAAAAATTTTAAATAAACGTCTATCGGTTATAACAATTGTAAAGAAATGGTCCCTTGAAGGTCATTATAACTGATTTTCACTGTATATATAAATTATAGTGTTTTCAAACTTGGAGAGGACTTTTTAATCGTAGACAGAATGCATTATTAACCATTTCAAAAATTAAAATCGTTTCGATATTGCAAACCGCATTTAAAATTAATAATAATAAACATATTTAAAACTTATTGGGAACCTCTGGAATCGTCCCCGAGTTACATATTACATATATATTCACGTATGTGAATATTTAAGGCCATAAATGGCGTGTTGCCAGCTTCTTTGTTCCATTTTTGATAATTAATAGATAAACTGCTAATATAATTTTAGGTAATCATCAATTCTACTTTAGTTTTCTTTTCAGATATGTGTGTATTTTATTGCGAAAATCATTAGTGTACAAATGTTTCAGTGAAATTATTTATTATTTTAGATTGCTATTATAAATGTATTTTTTTTGTGTCTCGTGGTGGGTATTAATAAATATGAATAAACATACTACAGTGGCCTTGACTTACTGGATATGTAACATGTAAATGCTGATGAAAACTGTGACATAACTGCACATCCTTATGGATGATTTCCAAATAGGCATGCACCAGTGGTTCCAAAAAAGTTTTCATCAAATCGGTGTTAATAGGTATTAAAAATATTCTATTTGCAAAAAATATTCTATCAATCGAGTGTTCGCACCTCAATTTGTTCACTCTTTAAAAGTGTTGACAGTCTATCTAGATTAGTCTGAATTATCAACATATATTATTTATTTACCACAAATAGATATTTGGGAACTTGCTTAATATTTTTAAATCAAAGGTATTTCCAGTCCCTATCTGTAACCTATAACTTATTTTTGAATTACACTCCTAACTATGCATATTTCCCTTAAAATGTTACAGGTCATTCTAGATGTATGTTTTATCTTCTGAAGATCTAAACATATGTATTAGGGTCTAACGTATTGTGATAATAAATAAATTTTGTCAGGAGCACTCGATATACACCGATATTTAATATTTTGTGCGACACTGATGCTTGGATTATAAAACGTAGTAACTTGCTAAACATGTTATTCTCTAAGAGTGGGAAATGATAATTGTGCACAGTACCCAAGATGTACAGAATTAAGTAATAATCTTATGTTGTTCATTCTGAGAAATATTTGCCACCGATTTTATAGGACAGTTGAATATACTGATAACGAAAAAATAAATTAAAAAAAAACTATTCAATTCAAACAGTAATACCACTTACCTTCCTTTTGCGAAACAGCTGTCCCTTAGTCGGCTGAAAGTAAGGGTGGTCCATCAATTCCAGTTCGATAGTAGGTGCGAAAAAAGTGATTCTCGTGCTCCTGCTGGGTATGAATTCGTTTAAAGCGTCAAAGTCTTCTTCCGAAGGAGGAAGTAGCTCTTGTAAAGATGAATCTGGTTTCACTGTGAAGTAAGATTGATAATCGTAGTAAGAGGCCGCCACTTGCAATGTGCTAATTCTATGAAAAAGTCCTGAGCAGAGGCGTAATGTGAATGGTCCGAAACAGATTCGCATACAGGCAGTTTCGGAAAGATTGCTAAAAAAAATTTGTTAATGCAAGATGGTTTTACAGGCTTTTGGGACGGGTACCTATATTCATGATCGCTGCCTAGTTCACTTAGAATCTCACTGGACATGTCACTTGGAATTTCCATTTGATACACATAGTCAAAGGAAAACGCAGGCGTTCTCTCAAGTAAGACAGACTCGGTGTTTGTCGTCATGTGGTAATCCCAAGAAGTATTATACTGCCTCTTCTGTCCCTTATTTTCTACGGCCTCAGCATCAAAAAGAGAATCAGTCTTATGGGAATTCGATACAGAACCTTTAAATTAATAAAAATTAAAATGAACTTTCAATGAGATTTTACAGTGAATTAAAAAAAAGAAGTATATTTTAATAGAGATACATTTGGAATACATTTTATTCTAATACCACTGTCTAATAAACCTAAAAAAAATAAAGTTAAAATGGTAAAAATAGTAAAAAATAATGTTCTAAATTTTCTACTGGAAATAAATAACGTATAGGTTTTGGCATTTAGTATTATGTTTTGTTCAATTTAACATTTTTTAATTAGGCTTAAAAAATTAACAATTAACAGTGGGAAAGCTAAAATATAACTGTTTTACATTTGTAGCTGGAAGAGATGAGTATTACTGCATCCATGGAGAAACAAAGGTCTATCTCATTTTTTATTTTGCCTAAATTACTTATTAATTATTTATTATATTAAGAATCAAATTTAGAAGTTTCAATTATTTTAAAATAAAATAGTTGAAGTATTAGTGAAAAAAATCCCTATAACTGAAAAATAAGTCCACAAATTAGCATCACCTTGTAAGCAATTGGTTTCTAGACCTGCATAGTTTCCATGACAATTTGACTAATAATCATAAAAAAGGTGCATTTATAAGAGCCCTAACAACTAAATATTCGGAGATACGATAATTTTGACAAAAACAATTAATAATGCCAACCTTAGAATAAACGTATTTTACATTAACATCTTCATTTTGCAACCCTTTTAAATAACATTTCAATGACTATTTTACACATAATTAAATACGCTCTGATCTGTAAATCCTAAACAGTAATATTTTGCTCAATTTGATGACAACTAAATGTTCAGAAGCAGCATTTTTTGACTCAAAAACCAAACAGATGCTGAAAATAAGAAATGTCATTGTTATAGTTCATGTCTGTTAGTGTCTGTAGTGTTTTCGCAACAATATTGTACAAAATATGTGAAAAGGACATTGATGAAAAAAATTGTTGGCGAAAGGACCCTTAGAGGCAATAATTATTAACGTCGAAAGCTAAATAAGGATTTCGTTTTCATCAAAGCAAAAGAAAAAGCATTGCTGATGGAACTCCAGAAGAAGTGTTTAACTTAGGCTAAATCGATAGCTACGAGTTTAAGTTTGATGTGTCTGAGGATTTTTTTAAGTGCATAATATGAACATCGAGGGAAGCTTTACACAAAAAGTGCTTAAAATATACAGTGAAATTTCCACAAGGAGCCATGATCTGGGGACGCACGTCGGCAAAGGAGTCAGGAAGACTAGAGTTTATTAAGCGCATCTTCAATGAAGATACACATTGGAGAATAATTTACTACCCGCAGCATCAGCACAATTTGGCGACAGAAATTTCATTTACCAGCAGGATAGTCCTCAGTAATATGACCAAAAATACAAAAAAAAACGTTTGGAGACAATGATATTAAAGTCTTGAACTGATCTTTAAAAAATCCCGGCCTAAATTTTATTGAAACATTATATCATAGAAAAAGTCCTTGCGAAACAACCCCCACAGGACAATTCTTAATCTCAAAAAACAAATACAGGATTTGAAAATTTTTTGTTGTGATGTTTAGTCAGCACCATGCTAAAGAGAATTTGCTCTAATATAAAGGCCAAAGAAGAGTTACGAATTACTTAATCAAAAGCAAACTCTTCCATCCGAACATTACTGTCTCCGCATTTTGTAGCTTTTGTTTATTTCTTATTGCAATTGAACCGATTTTTTTTTAAATAAATATGAGTTAATCAGCTTTCTTGGCAACTGAATTTGAGACAATCATTATTTGCATTGTATTTGTATTGTTGAGTCACCTCAAGGATACAAATTTACATTATTTAGAAAACTTTAACGTGCCGTCCGAAATTTAAGCCTTATAAATAATTTCAAGTTTATTATTTTCGCTATATTATGAGTTATACCTACTTAATTATTACGTCTGTGAAGTAATACTAATAAAAAATATTTTATCTCATTAGCTTAAACTGCAATACCTCAATATTTACAAAAATTGCAAAACTAACCTAGTTTTAAATATGGAACAGGAGAATCCTCATTTGCTTCCAAGAAAGAACAACTACACTGACCAATGGGGAGTAACAGAGCTTGACTAACACCTCCTGTAGCATTCAACCACTTCATACCGTGTATAACGGTCTCACAATAGATTCCTTGAAGCTCCAAAGTCAGCATTGGATTATATCGTATTTTTTTATGACCGTAATAACCACCACGTTCCGAGTTCATTTCCGAAACCTGCAAAAAGAACAGTCACACAGATCTACTCAAATTTTTTTACAAAATTTACTTTAAAAGTGATCGATAGATTATCGAGATAGAATCCGAAATGCAAAGTGTGACCTGACTGGCCTTGGAATTCTTCGTTATTCCACTCTTCGTCCCAAGGGGCCGGCAAAACAGAAGAAACATAAGACCATGCCCAACCAGTCCAAGATTCTGGATTTTCCATGGCTTCTATTAAAAAATATATATATTTCTTCTTGTAGTCAAATATTCAGGAACGGAATTAACACAAAGCTTATACAAATTTACCTCTCACATCTGACGGTGTATTGGCATTATCACTTGTCGTGCCCTTTTCTGGTTTCAGGTGTTTCTGTTGAAGGGCATATAAGAGCATCAGTAAACGGAAAAGCATAGGTATCTGCTGTTCGGTCATACTGAACTCCATACTAAAAAATATTAAAACAATTACAAATTTACCAAATTTTTATGCAAAGATAATTTACTTGTTGCACAAAATGTCTAATCTGGTAGTCGAGGCTTTACTGGCGGTGGCAGAGTGGTAGTTTCTTAATAAATGCATGGTCATAGAACATCGATAGAGCATGGGTTCTTGGTAGACTTCTATTTTACCAGAGGCATTTCGTTTGTCAAGACACAATGTCAAGTCGTTCACTGTTATCACCTTTCGTAATATGACTTGCGCTGGGGAAAGATCTAAAATTTAGTTCACTAAAAAAACTTTAACATACCTCGAATCTATAATAAAATCATGTTATTTAATAAATAATAAATGCATATCACTTTACCATATTTAAGAAAGTTTTATCGTTTTAAATGGTTTCTTGTTTTACCTATATATGCAGGTTCCCATTTTTCATTAGCGGACTCAAATTTTAAATGTTTAACATTCATCGATAGGACTATATCTTCCTCTACATATTTTAATATCACATTATTACAATAAATCCTTATATTGTTCACTATTTTATTTATTAGTAACTGTACATAACCTGGTGGTGCCTCCACTTCTTTGCTAAAAATCATTGCAATAAAATTTGAGAATAATTTCATATATCCTTCCTACCCGTGAAATGCTTTCTTTGGAACGATTACATCATTCCTGGTAGAATCTTTTCCTTTTAAATTTAATATACATTCTGCAAATAATATACATGTAATTTTTGTAACAATTAATGTAGTAGTATTTACCTATTGTATTTATTGTAACGACGATGGGTTCTGATGCTAGCTTTGTCCATGGTACATGTATCAAAAGTTCCCTGATACTACCCGAAACAAAACTAAAGGGCAACTGCAACTCTTGTTCTAGAACTTGTAGATTTAGTTCTAAATTAAGAAAACACGCATCTCCACCCCACAGTGAAACCTTCAATAAAAGTGTGTGTCTGTATGTATATCTTGCCTTATGAACAAAGTACTTACCTGAAAATCTTCAGGTCTGAAGTTGTTTATGTATCGGTCTACATAACTTAGTAGAATTGGGGTTATATAAGACTCCAATTTAAACATCTCCGGATTTATTTCAATCTAAAGTTGAAATATGAAAAAAGATGTAAATAAAAATTAAGGTTAAAAATATATTACTCACCGACAGCACATGTTTCTGCTAACAAATTTGCAGTTTATTTTAAATGCAAATAAATTTACATAAAGCTTATCAAAATTTCATGCATTGTTGGCATATTTAGTTCAATAAAAATTATAAATGTTCAATGATAAAAACATCTGATTTTTTAAACGTCTAATTTCAGTACTGCCAACTAAATTCCCCCATGTCAAATTTCCCCACTCCACCCCCACTTTTTCTAATTCAGTTTGTTATGTTGGTGACTGTTGGAAATGTCAGTTTAACAAAATGGCGAATGTGCGTGACAGTGATACCTCTTTGTGGCTTCACAATAAACTCGGAATTTCGAATGATTCATGGACAGGAGGCTCAATATGTTCACAACTAAATGCAGAAGTGTTAAGAAATATAAAGGACTGTTTTCCAGATCTGCAGACCCAAGTGAAACTGAAATTATTATTAAGTTTTTTTCATATCCCGCGCAGAAACCTGGAAGAGGTATGTTTATATTTGTTTGGAAGAAACGTAAACATGTTTTGTTTCATTCTAACTCATCATTAGTATTATTTTAGTAATGAGAACGTTTGTCGAAAAACATTTGTTGTCATATGTTGTAAATATTTTAATTTTTAGTGGAAAACAGAACTGGAACAGATATTGGATGTAGCTTTGGCTGATTCTGAACTTTGGGTAGCTATGCTGGCAGATGCTCTCAAAACTTATCCCTCGACAGGATCTCTAAACACAGATATTTCAGACGTTGATGAAGTACGGCCTATTTTTACTGATTTAGTCACCGATCTGAGGAAACTAGTACGGAAACAAAATGAACACACGATGCTTCCTATGGAATGTCATTATTTGAATAAGGCAGCTCTAGTTTCAGTAGTGAGTACTACCATTAATGTTATATAATTGTTTAAAATTTTAAATCCGCAGAATTTAAGAACGGTGTATTTTAGGTGGGTCACAGACCAGAACCCTTGAAGCATTTCACAATTAAGAAGAAACCCAAATCTGCACTGTTGCGTGCAGATTTGTTACAAAAGTCTTCAGATGCTGCTTCCAATCTTAACAAAAAATCATGTGCTCCAGTTATACCTGTCCGATCTAGGGGTATGCCCCGTAAAATGACGGATACCAGTAAGTACGGTATGGTCGCTTCGCATTTCATTTTTTTAAATTTGTTTACTAATGCTTATGCCTTATAATAACTAATATATTTGACAAAGGTGACATTAATTAATTGTTAGAAATAAGATAATTTTGCCCTTTGAAATTTAAAATACTGGCTACAAAAAAAAAAAAATTGGAAAGTATATCATGTTTTACAAATTGTTTACCATCCTCTATTCACACAAATGGACAGAAATTGTGATGGGGAACTATATTACTAATTAAAATTTCTTAATAAAAAATATTTTATACATTACAATTTAGTATTGTACTTTAAATTTTTTCAATAGCAAATTGCGCCAAATTTCATTTAAATTCTTTTATAGGCTCGTAACATATTTAATTTATCCAAAATTATAATACTCTCTATTTTAAAAACAGTATTAAGACAAAAGATTAAGAACATAACTTTTGATGTCACCTCTTATATAAGCAATCTTAAAAACATATAATTTCTAAAAGCGACAATTGTAGCTCCACTAAAAGGCATACCAAGCAGGGTGCCAACGTCAGGATTCCGTTCAAGTGTATTAAATAGTAACCTGAGCAACAGACCTCCACTGACTAGACCCCCCGCCGGAAGGAAAGAAGGCGGAGTTAAATTGTTGGACATCGCAGATCAACCTCTGGGTTACGCTGCAGCTAAAAAGAGGAAAAGAATGCAAGGTGGGAATTTACATAGGAGATGTTTTTCATTCACTGTTTGATTATGTGTTTGTTTTTCAGAAATTGAAGATGCGAAGAAAGCCACAGAAAACGCAGCGCTGCAGAGTCCCCCTCCTGCTTCTGGATCTACACCTGATTATGCTGCAGGATTGAGCGCGACGCCAGCTTATGCGCCTGCCACTCCACAACCGACTGTTGCTCCAACTCCAGGTAAGTTTTTATTTGCTTAACAAATTTGCAATTTTTTGTACTACATTATATAGGGTGTCCCAATATTTTGTATACCTCAGATTCTGGGTCTCAAAATAAGATGATTTGAAAAACTTTTTAACTAATAAATGTTACTGTGGGCAACATTCAAGGTCGCTAAAGAAGTAGGTTATCTACAAACTTCATCCTTGAATTGTCCAATGCCATTGCAGTGTTTCTGAGGCGGGAATATGTCTTCGATATAATTTCATTTTCATCATTTAACTCAGTATTGTAACCTGAGGGGTTATTTCTTTATCCATCCTTATGAACAGTATCGTAACATTCGTAACAACATCAATTTTCCAAAGGGAGCTCATCGTTTATCATTTACACTTTAATCATGATACATGACACTTAGAAATTTTGTACATTCAGAGAATGAGACACTTACCGTTCTTTTGCTCATGCAGCGTTTAATCCATGGGTTGGTCGTACAGGGTGTTACACTCTCACTCAATGGGGTCACTTAATTCAGAGAGAAAAGGAAATGCCAGAATTTCTTAAGGAAGGTTTTCAATAACTATATAAAAGTGAAACAAATACAACAACTATAAATAAGAAAATATATTACCCATTACAAAATTAACCCCAAGATTCTAAGTTCAGGTGGTTGACATTTATAATTAATCACCCTATATGTACCTGGCCAGTTTGGAAAAAGCAAGCATACCTAGGAGTGGAATAAAACCATTAGATAATAATTTGTCTGAATTAAATGAACAATAGTTAGCAGGTATATACATTAGCCCCATGCTATCTCTTCTGTTCCACAGTTTATTTTACATATATTTTCACACCTCGATGAAAAATATAGTGTAGACATTAGTGCTGGCAAAAACCGGAAAAAATTGAAACCGGTTAACCGGGTTCCGGAAAAGCCGATTTCAGATAAAACCGGTTAGTCGAATAGTTGCTAAAACCGGATATTCTAAAACTGGTTATTCGAATAACCCGTTACTCGAATAATGGCTAAAACAGGATATCTAAAAATCGGTGCTTTATAAAACTGACGAGATATACGATGTTAATCACATATTCACATATTTTAAATTTTAAAGTTAAATCTAATGTTAAAAGTTAAAATGTTAAAACAGTTGCACTTGTTACTGTGATTCTTCAATTTATTATTTATATAAATGGATTTGGTCGTTTGGTGTATGTGAGTGTGGGTGACTGTTTTTTTATAAATCTGTGCCTTCTAATATGTATGTACTATGTAGCCTGTGTCAATAACTACATAACACTAAGACTATATTATGGTGTTATGTAGTTATTGGCTATAAAGAAAGAATCCAATTATTCGGATGTTTGAATAGATTATTGAATAATTGGTTATTTGAATAATCGGATATTTGAAGAATCGAATAACCGGTTTTCGGGTTTCGTACAAATCTGAATTATCCGAAACCGGTTAACCGCCTATCCAAAAAACCGATTTCAGTTGCCAGCACTAGTAGACATCTATTTTATGCAGGGTCCATTATTAAGAGATGATAAAATTAGGAAAACCCCAGTATAAAATTCCATGATATACCCTATATTATTATTAGAGATATCTGCTATTCCGGGGTGTCCATAAAGAGATGTTTTACTGTACCAGTATACCAAATTTTGATTGAATAAAATTTACTTACTTGAAAAAAAAAAAAACAAAAAACAAATTGGTTGCCAACTTTGACGCCCTCTAGCGGTTAAATGAAACAACTTTTAAATTTTTTCTCCCAAAATGTTATTTAAATATGGACCTTCTTGCAGCTCCTGCTACAGCAGTGCTCACTTCACCCCAGCCCACACCGCAACCGGCAGTGACCACCCAACAGCCCCAACAAGTCTCGCCCCCGACCCCCGCACCTCCCGCTACTCCACAACCCACTCCACAGTTCACCGCCACACCTACGATGCGGCCCGTGCCACCCTTACTTGCTACAACTCCAACTGGGCAAAGGACGATCATCACCACGGATCAACCGCCCGTGCAACAGCAGGCGCAAACTCAAGTGGTCGGGACCCCAGTGGTGGTCACTCAAAGGCCCATGCAGCAGCAGACCGTCACGCATATTAGGATACAACCCCAGTCGTCTTCCAATGTGTTGCAGAAGAGGGGATTGGCCCTTACGGTATGTAATTTTTTCATTATTCGTTATTTGGTTTTATTATTTATTGGTGGTATTATTCGATGGTTATTTGAAGAGGTATAAGTCAAGTTACGGCAATGTTGCGGATTTTGATTATGATTAACTTAGAGAAATTTCAATATTGTTTTTTTATTTTAATTTTTTTAATTGAAATGAAAACGGAAAAGGAGGAATTTTTTCAACTCGGTAATTATTAGGAAACTTTTCCCAGGAGAATTTAAATATTGCCAAAGATTATGAAGAAGAAAGATCAGAAGAAAATTCAACTACTTTAAGGTGGTGCCACCTGTAGTTTTAGATGTATTCCCACATTTCTGCCAATAAGAATGAAGAGAAGGTATCCTTCAGAAAATGGCTGTAGAGAGGAGGATTCTCTCTTATGGAGCAGTAATCCTGAAAGTGTTCGTTTTAAGATATAGCCAGAATGGCGTTAGTGAGCCACCAGGATTGGCGATAGAAGTAGTAAATAAACCGTGTAAATATGGCCACACACGTTTCGGTGTTCCTATTACCAGGCCTATTATTGCCAACACGTCTTCACCTTTCGATGACATTGTTTAATACTCTATTGAATAGAGGATTTTAAAAGGAACTATGACATTCACGATATTTTATTGCATGAATCGTTCAAATGGTCATTTTAGATGAAAAAATCGCGGAGTGCTATTAAATTAGAGGGTGGAAATTGGAGATAGGGGTGAAAATGCACCCCTTTCAGTTTTTTAATTGTAGCTCGAAAACGAAGCAAAATATCGCTATAGTTCATAGGAAAAATTATTTAGAAAATTGAATTTCCCATCGAAATAGCTTATTTAAAAAATTAAAAGGAAAATTTTATGCAAAAAATCGTTAATAAACAATTTTAAAGAAAGCAAAAAATAAGATTTTTTTTTTTACTTTTTTAACAAAATAATTTAGTAAAAACTTGAGAATTTAAGTACAATGAAGTTTATTAATAATGTATATAGTGTGTACACGGATGGAGTTGACAAGAAGAGAAACTCTTTTGTTTTTGACTTTGTATCGATAAATGTCACTTTATAAAAAGTTCGGCCCTCCAAAAAAATGGGACTGTCATACAAACGTCTTAGATTAGATATACAGGGTGCTCATAAATTAAAAAAACACACAAATACTCAAGAGAGAAGTACCATTATTTATTATTTTATACATGTTTATAAAATAAATCTGTTTATAACCTCAAATAATGTCAATACAAATTTTAAAATAAAAATCTTATTTTTTGCTTTTTTCAAATTGTTTGTTAACGATTTTTTGCATATAATTTCCCTTTTACATTTTTTAAATAAGCCAATTCGATGAGAAATTCAATTCTTTACAAAATTTTTCCTATGAACTATACCGAAATTTTGCCTCGTTTTCGTGTTATATTTAAAAAACTGCAAAAGTGCTTTTTCAGCCTATCTTCAATTTCAGCCCTCTAATTTAATAGCACCCCGCGGTTTTTTCATTTTTAATGACCCTTCGAACAAGTCATGTGATGAAAATCCTTGAACCTCTTATTTCCTTCTTTTTGCAAAAAATTAGAATTAAAGCATAAGGGTAAACGCGATGAAAATCGAAAAATTGGCTAAGTTTGAGCAGCCATATATCAGTCAATTTTCATCCAAAAATACTCTCTTACCTCTTGTTTTGAAAGAAATTTTATCTACTTTTTTTTCTATGAAGCAATGCTTATACCTATCCTTACTCAAAAAAAACTAGAGGCAAAAAAGTAAAAAAAATCAGAAAATCGAATGTTTTGCTTTTTTTTCAAATTGTTTAACGATTTTTTACATAAAATTTTTCTTTTAAATTTTTTAAATAAGCTATTTCGGAAATTCAATTTTCTCAATAATTTTTCTTAGGAACTATAGCGAAATTTTTATAATTTTCTTCACATTTGGCAAATACTCAATAAATAAAAGAGTTGATTGCTTTGTTTAAAATAATTCTTCAAAAAATTGAATAATTTTGATTAAAACAAATATGACTCATTATTGTAATCAGAAAATAGAGCCCAATTAAAAACAAAAATGCAAAAGTATGGTACTCGTAAGAAAAACAAAAGTTGATTGTCGTTTCTCTGATCAGATAGATGTTGCTACTAATACGAGGTTTTGGTTAATAAAAAAAATAATCAAAATCAGTATGCATGTTATTCATCATCCAGTTCGTCATATATTTTTTTATTAAATTTTCCATTTCAGCGAGAACAAATGTTGGAGGCCCAGGACATGTTCCGAACGGCGAACAAAGTCACACGGCCAGAGAAAGCTCTCATATTGGGATTCATGGCTGGTTCTCGGGACAATCCCTGCCCCCACCTGGGTAATATTGTGACAATAAAACTGTCCGAAGACCAAGAGAACGTACTGCAACCCGACGAGACTTACTTGACTATGATGGTAGAGACGCACTTCCAGATGAACTACAACAATGGCGAGTGGAAAAGGATCAAGAAGTACAGACATATCGAGAATATGGTCGACCAGATCACTTCCAGTACACCTACGGCGGCGCTCGTTTGACGAAATGTCGTTCGGTAGTAGGTGTAAGCGAAAAGGATCTTCCGGTTTGAAGCTGAACGTGTCGTCCAGGAAAAATGCAAAGTGGGAGAAGCGTTTTTGTGCTATGTTGGAGGTATATATTTTGAAAAAAAGTTTTGTTGATTATTTTATTTATGCAATTTAGGGTTTTGGAAAGTGCAATTTGAAGCTAGCTTTATAAATATTTTGTGAAAATTTAAGTGTTTATAACTTTTGAAAGAGTAGTTTTGGGTTATGGTTCTTGTTTCTTTTGTGGGGTTCTACTTTATACAGTATTTGCATTTGAACTGGATGACTTGACGTTTTTAGTTTAACGAATTTCCCGTTTCATTTTGCGTAGTTTTGGTAGGTAAGACAGAACCACGTTTAGTTTGACAATGAGATTATTTTAGGTTTAAAGTAATCTTTGCGAATAATGTAGGAATAACTTTTTTGTATCAAAAAATGTAATTTTATTTTGTACGTGAACAAACTGACTGAGGGGCCGATGTTAATATTGGAGAGTGTAGATATTAAGATCAAGTTTAAATAATTTCAGTATCGCTTAAAATGATTGTGGTGGTTAGGCAAATTAGATTTATATATTATACTACGTTAGAATTGATAAGATTAACAATTTACGATAATTGAATTTGTACATATATATTAATTTACAATTTATTATTTATTGTTTATTTTCAAACATTGAGTTTGTAGAGTGTTCACATTTTATTTAATAATTGTTGTTTTTCTTGTGCAAAAATTTTGTATATATTGTTAAGCAAGTAAAAAGTATCATATTTTTTAATGTCGACTTCCATTTCACTCCCAATAGCCTTCCTTCAAATATTATCCTCATATACAGGGTGATTCAGTCATAATGTCATTAATTTTAAGAGATAGAGAAAAATGAGTACAATACGATGGCGTGATTAAAAAAAAATTAAATGCATATTTAAGCTGAAAAAAATATTTTCAAATAATTATTTAACCCCCTTTTCAGGGTGTTACTGACTGGTTCACTTCCACCTGTTATTCACAGCCTTCGGGCTTACAGCAAATGCTCAACTGTATGCACAAGTGTACACGTTGGATAGATGAACGGCGGATGCGATGGAATAAACCAGGGTTGTTACGTATTTCTTCAGCGGTATCTTTGATACGATTCCACAATTTCTCTATATTCTCTATCTCGGTGTGATACACGACAGATTTCATATAACCCCATATACAAAAGTAAATAGGATTTAGGTCTGGCGAGCGCGCTGGCCATCTTATGGGTCCTATCCCTATCCACCAATTTGGACATTGATCGTTAAAAAATCCACGGACATCGCCGGCAAAATGGGTCGGAGCTCCGTCGTGCATATACCACATATCCCGTAGCATCTGAAGGGGAAGGTTTTCAAACAATTCTACTAAAAATTGAGTCACGTGACCTTTTCAGATGTTCAGGTAGAAAATGCTGCCTAATTAAACGATCGCCATATACTCCTGCATATACATTGACACCGAATTTCCTCTGAAAGGTAAACCGACGCGTAGTGTGCAGGTTTTCATCTGACCAAATGTGAATATTATGGCTGCAAAGAAATTAGCTCTGTTTCACTTTAAAATCTAATATTGAAGTTACAAAACTCCAAGAGTTCAAATAATTTAAATTTTATTTCATAACCATTTCAATTTCATTACAGAAATAATTACATAAAAAACCAACACTCGCTAGATAAATTACAAAGAAAGGGTGAAATGTATGTAGTATTTAAATATTGACTGTAAGTAATAGAAGAGACACTTGTATATTCCATAAAAAACAGTCAGACGGAGACAAATAAACAACTCGGTACGTGTTTCCGACCTAGGTTAACTTGTCCAGGTCACTAACCTAACACACTTTTGACTTGGACGTGCACTATATGACTGTATTAGGATCGTATTCGATGTAGAGTAGAGCAAAAAGTTGTCGGTCTTTTATCAAAGGAAAATCGTGTCATCACTTTTAGGAGGTGTAAGATGAACCATTTCAAATTTAAAATGAAAAAAAATCACTCATCTGTCCAGAGCACTTTGTTAATAAAGTTAGGTTCTGCTGCACTTCAATTTAGGAACCAATTGCAAAATTCAAGACGATTGGGGAAATCAGCTGGTTCTAAAGCCTGAACGTTTTGAAAATGGTACAGATTGAGTGAATTCTAGCGCAATATCCGCCAAACTTTGGTTTGTGATATCTCCAATTGTCTTGAAATTGTACTTGTGGAAATGGTAGGCTGCTCCTCGACTAAATTTAAAACAGCCTCTATCACAATTGTCCGCGGGCTTGGGAAATTCTGTCGTATCAGGAAAACGTGTCCGATGCGTACATTTTACCATTGCTGACAATATTTCATGTTGATTTAAGAATTGAAAAAGATAATTCATCAGCATTCACTTGTACGTAGTAATTCTACTGGTTGCGTTGTTTTTTCGTACTTTAATTATTATTGCAGCCGACAAAAATCGAAATACAACATAAAAACAAAATTTATTTTACCACGGTAAAAAAAATTGTAATGATAAAATAATATTAACAATAAATATATCCTTAAAATAAATCACAATATGCAGTGTTACTACCTAACACTTAAAAATATCACTTAAATATCTGTATTATCTACACTATCTTATTACTTCCACACTTTTACGACGCCATCTCTCGATGAGGTCACTAAAAAGCATTGGGAAGCTTTGCAAAGCACCACGTCAGAAATGCAGTCTCTGTGTCCTGCTGGGGGAGGATCCGGGCCGGCCCTGGGCACCTCCTCATTCCTGTCAGCTTTGCGAACATTGCCGGATTCTTCGTAGATCACTTGTGTTCCTAATCAAAATTTTAATATCAAGAGCAATTTGTATAAGGGGTGTCCTGAAATTATGCGCAAAAAATTCAGTTCAACAAAAATAGTGTTGGATATTTGTATAATACTTTTTGAAACCTCAATATTGAGAGAGTTTATATTTGTTGCCACAGCTTTTCCTTCAGCTAAGTCATTTATTTAAAATTTAGTACATTTATAATTGACAACAAATTCCTCTATTAAAAAAAAAAAAGAAAAATGGCCTTTACAGTGTAAGTAACCGAAACCTGGAATTTGTATAGCTGCACAAAAAAAAATGGTTTAAAAACATTTTAAGACTACTTTTATGCCTAGAATCACGCCCAAAATTTTTTACTAATAATTTCCAAACACCTTGTATATTAATGTAATAATGCAATCAATATTTAAAACTATGAAAAATTACCAGCTAGATCAGCAGAACGCAATTCAATTAACTTTTTTATATACATTTCATATACGTTACCGTCAATGAGGCGACTTCTGTAACCTAGTGTTGTTCCAACTGGGTCACTAGCAGCTGGTATTGCCAGAAAAGAGTCCGCGGGGTTTTCCAAGTCCCAAAATCTTAACCTTTGATCTGTACCTCCCGTCAGAGTGAAAGGTGAACGGTCAATACAGCCCCCTAACATGGCGCATACACTATTACTAGAACCCTATAAAAATACAAATTGGAAATTAAAAATACTGTTATTTAATGTAGGACTTACAGTTTTTGACAAAGGTGGTGCGGTACTGCCCCATAATACTTTCTGTCGAAAACCGGTTTCTATATTCCACATCGACACTTCGTTGTTGCCCTGTATACTTGACATCACCCAAGAATGTTCTGTTGGATGTGATACCACTCTTCTAATTCTAACCCCACCTATAAAACAAAAATCTGCGATGATTTGTGCCCTGTTGATACGACATCAGTAGTTGCAGGATGTGGATATGTCTTAATATTGGGAACTCGCTTTGAATTAATTTCAGAAACGGCCATGTATATAAAGTGCAACTTTACAGGGTCAATACCGTGCTTTCACGGGAAAACACTACATAGGAGGTGCGTCAGTCAAACTCGTGCGGCTTCAGCGGTGGGGATGTCGATCTCTGCGTGCGGCGCTGTAGCGTACGTGATCACATCTCACATCAGTCTGGTTCCAGCACCCAGCGCTCCCCACCCTTCTGAATTTACGAACTCGAACGAAGCTAATTCCCTATGTAATGTTGTACGGTGAAAGCACGGTATAATTTTCGAATGAAGAATACCATTTTTGATGAATCGGGCATCAAATTGTTGATAAAAGAATCATTTTAAAGATGTGGGAGGAAAAAATATGAAAATATCAAATATTTTTATATACAGCGCTGGAAAATCCACATGGTCCATCTGCCTTTACATGAGAGCGACAAAGTAAAGTAAAGAAATTCGTGCGATAGACAAGGATGGCTATAGTGAAGACGTTTCATAATCTGAATAGTCACCGTCCGTTTCAGGTTAGAACTATACAGATTATGAAACGTCTTCAATGTAACCATCCTTGTCTATCGCACGGATTTCTATGACTTACTTTGTCGCTCTCACGTAACGGCCGATGTACCATGGGAACTTTCCGAACCTGTATACACCGGGTGTTTGTAAATAAGTGTGAAATATGTTAGGGGGTGGTTGCCAAAGTTATTTTGTGAAAAAAAGTTCATGTAAACGTATATGCTTCGCTTCTGAGATGGTGTTTAAATTTAAAATTTTTATTTTATTTACTTTTATTAATTATTTCAGAGTTTTAAAGATATTGACTCGAAATTTGAAAAACGCCTTGGAGGGATAAATAAATGTGCATTTTTTGGGGTGATTCGAATCAATTGGTCAAACATCTCTGAGAGTTTCAAAGCAGTCCTCAACTGCTGTAGAAACAAACCTATTAGTAGTTTATGCAGCAGCAATTTCTTTACCAATGAGTTTCTTCTTCTTTGATGATGGCAAAGTCATTACACATTTTTGCAGAATTTCCCAATTATTTAAAGTCATATTTTAGCGACTACAGGGATTTTAATGGAATTATTTCATGTTTATGATACAAATTGATGTTACAAACCTGACGGATGTTCTATACTGGTGATAGGCAGCTGAAACCTCAGATCCCATGTGGTGTGATATCCGTTGCTCGTACCAAGCGTCAACCAGCTTTGATGAGCATCTACGCAAAATGTAGTGATATGTCCCTTCCTCAGTCCGTTTTCCAGCCTCCAGGCAACACCCGGAGCCCTCAGATCCCACCCGACTAACGACCCGTATAATGTTGCGTAGACCACAACACTCTGTGAGCCAGAATCTAAACAGCTCACATCTACTGCGAAACCATCTTCGTTTCCATCTAGATGGCGCGACTGCACTAAATTCATCCTAGAAACCATTTATATCCATTATAAAAGTTGTATTAAAATTGTTAGTATAATAATGGGCAAGTTATACACACTTTTTTATATAAATTAAACCCATTTAGTTTTACTATTTCTACTCTGTAGATAATAACACATGGTATTGTCAAAGTGGATTTTCTGACAATGTTAAAGACGTTTAAAAATTGAAATTTTTGATTGGTCGATTAAGTGATAAAATTTGTTTAACTATTTATAAAGTAAGTAAATTTAATTTTAAGAATAGCAAGACATCTCCATTAAAATATATGTTACTTACTTGTTACTTGCAGAATCAACCCTTAATATATTAATGGTACCATCCTGACAAATCGCCCCTAAAGACTGTCCACCTTCGCAGACCGTCATACCAATGATAGACGATCCCGATGTCATTTTATATTGCTGCTTGGATCTGTTCGCGATAGTTTTTCCCTCCAATTTTGCGCAATCCCAAAGCCTAAACGAATCAATTTTAAAATATTTGAACGGTACAACAAACTTTATTTATACCTAATAGATCCATCTGCAGAGCAGCTAGCGAATAGCGGGGTATCCGGAAGAGTGCACAGTCTATTTACCGCTGCTCTGTGTTCGTGGAGGTGAGCAACTAGGACTCCTCTCAGCTGCCAACCAGGAGGCGGTAGCTGAGGCCGCCATGTTGCTTGCTCTTCCCATTCTTTGCTTCTGTAAAATGGAAAAAATAAACAGAAATGTTAACTGTTTCTAAAATTGGAATTTAAACCACCTTAAAGCCTCAAAATAATGCTCTTGCTGCCTGTTTTTCAAATTTGCTAGTTCTATGTAGCAACTTGATCTTCGATCTGCAACAGGAATTTTTTTAACAAATTTACTTTTACAACAATCCGAAATCTAATGATTTGGACAGTTCCTAAAATATATCATTAATAGAGTTTGGGAAACACGGCTGTTCCAAATGTGAGATTTTGGATATTTGCAAATACAAATGAAAATGTGAAAGCGAAGTCTATGAAATAACTAAAAAATTGAGTACTGAACATAAATTAAAAAATACACTTTGTAACTTGAAATACAAAGAATATTGTGTGATTTCTTGAATATTTTAAATAAAAAATAAGCTTATAGTATTTGAATTTAATTTTAATAGTAGTTAAATTAGTTATTTTTAAAAGTAGTGCTGTTAAAGTTTGTGCCTGAAAAACCTACCTATTATAGTCCATTTCCGTCACATGCCCTGTGTCCGAAACTCTAATAAATCTACTTGCATATTTGTTAAATCCATTTCACTTACACTGAATATACGATCTCTCGTGAAGACTGATGTTGGAAGAGGGGTCTGTGCTAATGAATTGATTGTGACCGTCTATCGGAGGGGAAGACGGTCTGCTAGAAGTAGACCTGGATGACGGCCCCCCCGAGTTGGTACTTTCCGACTGTCTCGTAAGTACCTCAGCGCTATAATTCCAGTCAGAGTTAACGTTTGTGTCTATAGATCCGCAGGTGTTAGTTCTGTGCAGTACTCTGGATAGGAGCGATAAATTGTTAATAAGGTAATGTTAACTCCGTACTCCGTGGATATGTTAGAAGATTGTGATAATTATTAGCTATCTAAGCATGTAGATGTAATTAGAAAATAAGGAATAAACGGGTGATTGTCTCAATAGTCTGTAATTTATTACTGTGTTTTGTCTCCAACTCTGATCAGCAAAAAATTGCAATACAACTCTAATAATATCCTAAACATTAGAGACCACTATATTTCTATGATAATTAGTTTATGCATGCTAAGTTTTGAACTAAAATGATTTTTTTTTAAATATCAGTACATAGAACTGATTGTATGAAACATGACATGACCAAAAATAGAAACTGATAACACACTGTTGAGAACGATTTTTGAAATAAAATCACATATATCTTAATTTTTTTCTGAGTTACGGGGCAGTATTGGTTTTTAAAATATTTTCCATTACTTTTGCCTCTAAATGAATTAAAATTAAAGTAATAACTGCTCTATATGAATCAGAAATCAATTAATGCTGCAGTGAAAATTCGTTGTAACGCCATTGCTTTATACGACATATTGGATATAAAGACGGAATTTGGAAGTCCTGATTAAATCCTATAGAACAGGGGTCGGCAAGTAATTTTAGGTGGGGTCCGGACACTTTTGAAAATTTTTAACCAGGTCCAGAAAAAAAATTCATATTTCTTACTAATTTTTTATTTTAATTTACACTCAAATTTAATCTGCTTACTAACCATTAAGAATTCAAATCAGTCACATAATTGTAAAATACTAGAAAAAATGATCAGGGTGTGTAGTACGAGTGAGTGAAAAGATGTAAACTACCATATAACAACTAAGATCAAAAGAGATAGAAATAGTAACTACAAATCAGATATTCACTAATATTCAGTTGCAAAAAAGTCTCTATTCGAAAACAGTTAATTGAAAATGTAGCATGCGAGATCTTTTGAACACAAAGCAATACATGCACATACGTAAATACTTGTATTGTAAATTCCTCATTTTTTCTATAAAAATTTTAAATAAAATATATGTAATTGCTTATTATGTCTATGGGTTATAACAACAGCACACAAACGGTCCCTTGAAGGACCGATTTTCACTGTAAATTTTTAGTAAATTTCATGATTACAAATCTGTGAAACAAATATATATTTTTTAATGGGAAATGTTAACTAAGGTCTAGAAAGTTAAGATTATTTTTGTATTTTATAGACATAATCTTACAGTTATTTGAACAGATAATACAGGGTGTTTTGTATACAAATATATGGTACATACATTTTTCATTTATTTGACAATTTACTTTTCTTAGCTGCCATAAATGTTATAAAATTCTATATTTTTGTGAAAGAACACGTTTCTTTTTTCTTTCTTTTCAATTTTAAAATGTTATATTCAGTTACTGTATATTCCTTTAATAAAAAACATAACTTCCAATTTACAATGTTAAGTTTTATTACAAATTTTTGACGGCAAATTAAGCAGATTATTGTCCCGCAAATAAAATAATTATATTATTGTATACAAAACGCCCTGTTATTTCCCAAATTTGTTAATATAATAATGATATTACTGAGAAGTAGAAAAAATCTATAATCGGCCAATAATTTCAAATATCCAACTATAGTTCCCGTAAAAAAAGTGTTTGTTTTACCATTGTATAATCATGAGATCCACTAAAAACCTAATATCACCAATTAATTGATACATTGAACAATTTAAAAGGATCAATTTTATTTTAATTTTAACTAATAGTGAAAATATCAAATTTAAGCTTTAAAATATAAATCTTAGTATCCCAATATTAATGACTCGTTTACAATGAACAATGACAAACCGTTAGTCTATGCTCGAGATAATGAGATCGCTGATTGGTTGCATAAAATTTTGTGAAAAATTACTCCAATCACCAGCCGGTAAACAGAATGTTGCGTTTTTTATGTTACTTGAAATTTATTGTTTTAATAACTTTTAATTTTACCGAAATGTAATTGCCAACCTGAAGGAAATAAGTTACTGTTCAAAATAAAATTACTGGTCATGTGGCTTCTAATCACTTATGAATGCTCTGTATTTTCATCAATCAAAATATGAAAGATCAACTCATGTTCTTGGTGTTAATACAAGAAAATTAATGTCTGTTGAGTAAATTAACAGATATTTATCATTTTTATGTGTTAGATCAGGTACTGTATTTGTTTTAACAACAGAGGTCAGTCGATTACTCATTTTTGAGACAATCACCAAAATATTTGAATGACTTACCTGGTTGGCATAAATTCCCCTTTCTGAGAATCGTTTAAGTTTAAAATGTGGCTTTTAACAATACTAGAAGAAGAACTAAGTTCAATTTTTCCATCAATCTGCCGACTATGCCTTGCTTCGGCATTAGTTTTATGTTTATGAATTTTTTTCAGGTGATGTTCCATCCTCAAAAAGTGCTCTTCAATGGTTTCGTTCATACCGTTTGCTTCTAGTCTTCGGAACAGCTGAAAACATTTAATACATGCTGTGACAGAACTTCAAAATTTAGGCGCTCCCAAAAAAATTCAATTCAGGGTCCTTCAGTAAACTCTCGTTGAATACAATAAATTTTTTTTTAATGAAAATGTCGAAAAAATCATTGCTGTTGAAATTTAAGTTCATACTGAGCAATTAAATGTTTGCCGGTAATGAATTCTTACAATCGGACAAATTTGGCAGATTATACATTTACAGATATCAGCTGTGTATTAAAGCTGATGCCAGGTATTTTGAACAATTATTAAATTAGCTTTCTTAATATTACATTTGTTATCGATAGTTTCGTGTTGTTTCTCAAAAAAAAATAACCTCCAAGTACAATATGATAAAGTAACTTTTTAATGCAGATTAAAGATTAATAGGATTAAGGATTAATAGAACTGTGTATTTTTCGACAAATCTTTGAGACCTATTTCATTTAGAAATGATTACGAAATGGAGTAGTCCAGTTGGTAGAGCTTCGGCGTGTGTCAAACCTTGATAACCCGGAAATAACTACACAGGTTTACTTTAAATGATGAGTACAATAACAGGCTAATTTGCTGACAAAGTATTTTATCAGGAAAAAAAGTTATTAACAATTTAATCGTGAAAAATTTTTTTTTAGTAGTTTTCTTTAAATAACTCAGCGGGATGACTTTGTACGAAAAAATGCTTAGGACATGATTTTGTTCGTAATAAAAATAGCTACAAAATGGCGGTGGTCCGATTACGAAATTTGCAATAACAAAGCCGTGAGATTGAAAAAACGGTATAAAACGCCAATTTTTTTAAGTTGCTGTAAAAATGTCAATTATAAACAAAAAGTGATAAAACTTTCGAAAACTATAGTTCAATATATATACAATAATGACGCTAAAGCCGAAAATCAGGAGAGCAAAACTTTTTGTTCTATAAGGTGTTATACATTCATCGGCATCTGAAACTCGAAACTTTGCCAAATTTGTTCGAAGCTTTGCTGACACTTGAAATTTGGTACACACATAGTGTAAATATGCAGAAACCAAAAGCAATTTGCAAAATTCAAGTATAGTCATTTTTGCAGTTTTGGTAAGGTTTTATACGTCAACCTAGTTTTATATGTCACCGTTTTTTTTAATTTTTGGACGTTTATAAAATATTCCATTACGGTAGATTAGCCAGCATAATTTACCTACAATTTAAAAAAATATATATTTTCATTGTTTAGATCCTAAGCTACTTAACATTTTGCGCTTGTTAGCCGTAGTCGTACATTATTCAACATATTAACATAAAACAAAATCGTACGTGTGGGGTAAATCTTTAACTTTTTATTTTCGAGCGTGAGCTCCGCTCTTCGGCGCTTGTATACTATTAGAAATATGCAACAGTAAATTTAAACAATTGTTTACTTAAAGTTAAAGGTTTACCGTACACGTACGATTTTGTTTTATGTTAATATGTTGAATAATGTACGACTACGGCTAACAAGCGCAAAATGTTAAGTAGCTTAGGATCTAAACAATGAAAGTATATATTTTTTTTTAAATTGTAGGTAATTATGCTGGCTAATCTACCGTAATGGAATATTTTATAAATATACATAAATATACGTCCAAAAATTAAAAAAAACGGTGACATATAAAACTAGGTTGACGTATAAAACCTTACCAAAACTGCAAAAATGAATATACTTGAATTTTGCACATTGCTTTTGGTTTCTGCATATTTACACTATGTGTGTACCAAATTTCAAGTGTCAGCAAAGCTTCGAACAAATTTGGCAAAGTTTCGAGTTTCAGATGCCGATGAATGTATAACATCTTATAGAACAAAAAGTTTTACTTTCCTGATTTTCGGCTTTAGCGTCATTATTGTATATATATTGAACTATAGTTTTCGAAAGTTGTATCACTTTTTGTTTATAATTGACATTTTTACAGCAACTTAAAAAAATTGGCGTTTTATACAGTTTTTTCAATCTCACGGCTTTGTTATTGCAAATTTCGTAATTGGGCCACCGCCATTTTGTAGCTATTTTTATTACGAACAAAATCATGTCCTAAGCATTTTTTCGTACAAAGTCATCCCGCTGAGTTATTTAAAGAAAACTACTAAAAAAAAAATTTTTTTCACAATTAAATTGTTAATAATTTTTTTTCCTGATCAGATACTTTGTCAGCAAATTAGCCTGATATTGTACTCCTCATTTAAAGTATTCCTGTGTAGATATTTCCGAATTATCAAGAAAATGTCACCAACAGTAACTTTTCGGCCTCTGCCGACTGGAGTAGAGTGGAAGTTTGAAAATACAACTTTTTTGGTGGTATATCATTTTTATGGTTTCTGCATGATGAAATCTCTCCAAATATAACATTTTGAGTATTTTAGTAACACAATTAAAAGTATTATCATTATTATTTATCTGAAGAATCTGACGAATATACAAACAATTTCTCTAATTACAATGGATAGAGTAAAGGGGGAACTCCAGGCCGCCTATTGGCCTTTTACTGTATCGTAGTTCCATCTCTGATTACATGTAAGAAAAAACAGATAAATTTGATAAAACTCACATTTTTCAAACTTGAATTTGACTCCCTGTACAAATCTGTATTAGGAACCTTGCCGGTATTTACACAATCTCTCAGAGTTTTCCTCTCTTTCAGCACATCCAGAAGTATATCAATCTCTGAGTAAGCTACCACACTATCATACACGATCCTCGGAATTGGACTTACAAGCGACTCTAGCACTAACTCAGGCCTAGAAAATAATGTTATTCATAAATTTTTAGTCCGAATTGAGGATTCGAACTTACTTGTCAATTTGTATCAGAGGATACTTCATATAGACACTCAAATGAGGCATTAGTTTACATTGAACATCCAACAACGATAACGTTTTTGCAGCAGTTGCGATAAAACCAGCAACCGCCTGACGTATCCACAGATTGGGGTGTACCATGAAATATGAACATTCAGTGATCAGTTCGCAAATAGCCGGTTTGAACATTAGACCTAGTTCTGTCAGAGCCGCCATAGCGTTGATACTTTTTGCCGTTACAAACTCGGAACAGTCTGTAAGGCCCTATAAATGAATAACGGTAACTTTAAAGACCACGGGAAGTTTTATTTCTGGTTACCTGTAATAAAAGAGGGGTTAAGATTCCAGCACATGGCCAACCGATGTAAGTCGCAACGCCAATAATACAGTCGAAAAAGGAACCCCTCAATTCTCTGTCTTCCTTGTCATTTAGGAAGGTTATCATGTGAGAGAGGATAACGTCGTTTGCTAGAAATAAGTTTAAAAAATGGATATACAGGTTCACGATATTGTTAAAGTGACCAAATAAGTAAATTACTGTTTTTTTTTATATTCAATACTTGATGAAAATCAACCCTTCATATTTCGTAATTTTCACATTATTGATGATTTAGGATTTTTATTTTTTTTTTTGATGTAACAAGTAAAGATAGTACATACAACATAAAGAAATAATTATTTTATTTAAAGTGCGGAATTTAAGACATTTACAAGATATTTTTCATGTGTAAATAGATTCTTTCACATAAATTCACTTTATAAAAGCTAAACAATAAGCTGCAACAGTTTTTGTAAAGATGAAACAGAAATAATCCTTTATTTAAAACAAAAATTGCATAATACACTTTAATATTAATAGGATGAACCATGAACGAAACTGCAGAATTTAGTTTAGTGAGTTACTAAAAGATGGCGCTGATGTGCAAATTGAATTTCAGACTTTTATGAATTAAATGCTTTTTAAATCTTATTACAACATCGTATTAACTGTAATACTAACCTATTTTTAGTGCTCTAATTAAAACAAGAAGAGTAAGAGTTTTGTATAGAAAAATACAAGTAATATCGATTTCAATACTTCTGAATACCTATTCAGTTTAATTTTGAGTGATCGTAAAATACTGACTACTTCCGATATTTCAAAAAATTTAATGTGCTGTATCAACGAAATAGTCACGATTTAAAGAGTTTTAAAAACAAGCAGGAAATTTTATAAAGATTTGGATGTGGATTTCACAGGGTTTAATGACTCTTAGGGTGTACGATAATTAAAGAAACATGGAAATCTAAAAAAAATTAGATAAACGAATACATTGAAGATGGATCTTTCAAAACAAAATATCTGAATCTGGTTCAGGCTGAGACAGTAATAGTATTGAGGATCATGAAGGCTTGCAAAAAATGTAATAAAATTTCCAGGGTCATATTTAAAAAAATAGAGACGAAAAGTTACATATAAAAATAGATTATGTCATTTGATAGAGAGCAAAAAGTTACCATGAGAAAGTGTTCTTCTTTTTTCAATATCACCTCAAACAAATTAAACAAAAACGCATTTCCAAAATTTCGTTTTTTTTCAAATATTTAGTAGTGAAAAGCGAATTTGTAACAGCCTGTATATATTTTCTCATACAATTAATTGTCAAACATTTTACTGTTTATATTTTTGTTTTAAGTATTAAATTGGACTTTTTTTACAAAATACAAGAATTTTTTTTATAAAATACTAACTTTCTCCAGGACACTGTGTGCCTTAAAATTGAATTATCTGATACTGAAACTATATACAGTCCGTACAATATTTGTTAAGATATAATTCTAAGAAGACCCCTGCGTCACCTTCTTGGAATTAATCACGTTTGACACCTGCGCTAAATTGTTACAGTAGTTCTCATAACAGAACTTTATTGGCTTATTCTTTTCTTCAAATTCTATCTTAAAAAATATCGTGATCTTAAGAGCTTACCTCTAGCTTTTCCGAAGAATACACACAATTTGGTAATGCCGCTGTCTACCAGTGTTTGTTTTACATTTGATTGTGTATCAGTCAGTAGCGCACTCACTGTCTGCGATATCATCTCATGCAAAGCTTGCAATTCCAACTCGTAGTTAAAGGTATCTTTTTTGTTGATGCTGCTGTGGTCGTACCAGTCATTCTGTATTTGTTCTAGATATCTAAAAACGCAATGCTGTATAAAAGATTTCTTCACAGAAAAGTGTATTAAACCTGAGGGAGATTTCTGCTAATTTTGCTATATTTTTGGCATACGCTGCACGCACGCAAGTATTGGGATCCGTTGCCAATGGAGCTAACTCTGGCAAGATGTATTCGGGAAATATATTGGCATCTGATCGTGGTATTTTCACCACCAAGTCCAGACACTTCGTGATTGTATTTATGGCCGATATCTTTACTCTCGTAGAAGAATCATGACCCAAAAACATCTGAAAAATATAAAAGTAGAACATATTTTATTATATACCTACTCGTACACAAATGCTTACGATGTAAGGTAAAATTCTATCCAGTATGGTTTCATCGCTAGCATGAGAAGCAAGCTCTAGTAGAATTTCTAAACTAAATAATTTTGAGGAGCAATCGTGTAACCCCCTAATACAAGATGTCACTAGTGATGTGATAAGGACGAGACCTTCACACTCGTCTTTCTGTTTTCCTTTCTCGTCTTGTGATTTGGGTCCTAGAAACTTGAAAATGCTTTTGATGTCATTTTTCAAACGCATTATTTTCTCGTCTGGAGATAAAATCGGAGTAGCTGAGAATATCAACATATAAGACTGCAAGAATGTAAAAAAGTATTCAGGGAAGAGTGTGCCTCTGTGTTGAGCTAAGTAATCCTCTGCAGAATGTCTCTTGCTTGGTTCTTTTTCTATCATGCTTGAGATTAATACTCTTAAATCGGGATCTTCCAGTTTGTCCAAATGTTTTTGAGGGGAATATTTACCAGAACGATAAGCCAATAATTGTGAATACTCAAATGGAACATGTAATTCGTTCCACAACTCCAATAAAGCGCATCTAAAATTTATTAACCATATACTCACATTTTTTAAATTTAAATAAATTCTTACCCAGCAGAGAAAATGTCCATAGCAGGTGTTAGATCACTGGAATCACAAGTAGCTTCAGTGATTACATTGCTACTTTCAGAATACGTTGTACTGGTACTACTAGAGAACCTCTCAGGAGCAATGAAACAAGTTCGTCTTCGAGAGGTATCAAAAAAGTAAGAATAATCTGCGGGATTATCCACTGGGATGAAAGTCGGTTTAAATGAAGCGAAATCTACAAGTAAAACCCAGTTCCACGAAGTCACCGTGATATTTTCAAGTTTTATGTCACCATGGCACACTCCCACTTTGTGACACTGGTGCAAAGCATATAAAATCTGAAATGTAATCCAGCGTTTCTCGATGTTTGTCAAGAATGGCCTCGTACTTAAACGGTCATACAAACTATATTTAACATATTCACGTATAATTAACCCTGCCTTGTCTGTTAGGATTATTTTTTGATAGGGAATGCAGTTTACAGCAGACGAGAGTTTCTTCCTTACATCTTCCAGGTGATTTTTATAAGTTTCTAGTGGTAAGGAGGGGTCATGTATGGCAAAGACTTTAACCACATCTAACCCCTCCTGTGATTCTGCCCTCGCTACTTTCAGGAACCTTGTACTACCCAAACTATAAAGGAAGTCGATAAATTGTTTTAGAAAGTAAACTAAAGAGAGATTTACCTTGTGTCAAACTTCAATTCAGGATGATCTGTTAAGTAACGCTCTACCGGAAATATTTGAGATGGGGCGATGCCTGCTAATTGATTACCCATGATTAAACTTGTATAACTGAAGTTTGTAGAGCGTTCTAGTTTTATATCACATCATACAATTTTATCTCGTAACTCATCACATTACTGTTTATTTGTGAAACTGTCAATCTGTCAATCGTCAATTCGCGAATGCAGCTAAGAGCTCGCCCACTGGCGGTGACAAGTGATACTAGCGAAACAAGGTAAACATTTCTTCTGTGTGTGACATTTCGTTTTGTATTTTATTTAAAACTGTGTTTAGTGTTCGTTTTTTGAACACTGTTATTTTAAGAAAATAGTGTGAGGAAAATTTCAGCAATTATGGATAGAAAGAAGAAACTATCAAACTATTATTGTTCAGTTCAAGGTTGCTCTTCATGGTCCAAGAAAAATTCAGAATTAAGTTTTCATCAAACCATTGAAGAAATTTTCAAAATATTATTGCCGATAGATAATACTCCCTGAATTTAATGAGGGTTGTTAGTAAGTATGGGCACTAGTTTGCAGACATAATATAATTTCGAAATTTAAATTAACTTTGCCCAATTTTCCCATATAGTACCACATGATCAGCGTTAAAAACTGCCTCTCCTTCTGATATACAACGAGTTTTCGTTGGCATATATGTAAATAGGAAATGTATTCCACAACGGATATGTTCATAGTTATAACCTAATAAAATGTACATTAAATTGTAATGCTAGAGACAAATAAAGTAGACATAAATACTTGCCTTAAAATTAATTTATGAAATATTTAAAACCTATAAAATAACACAAAAGTCAAATAACCGCAGTTTGATAACAAAATTACTAATAATAATAGCAAATGAATGTGTAAACACAAACGGGAATGTCAATGTCAAAATTACCTTGTCTCGGAGCTTACTACTTTCGCCGCTTGGTGCGCTTGCATCTTAAAAATTATCGCGGATAGTCAGAAATGTTTACAATAGCATAATAGCAAGCTACATTCGAAGTCACAAACATAAAATGGAAGTGTCGATATCCACAAAATTTCACTGAACAACTCAATTCTACTATCCTTAAAATAAATATTATTAAAAACAATATAATGCTCAATTAATACTATTCACAATCACAAAACATATAATAGAATTAAAATATTATTTTTAACAATTGTACCTATTCCGACACATGTCGTGTCGGGTAAATGTGCCACTGAAATGTCAAAGTCAAAAGTTTGTTAAATATCCTTTGTAGGTTAATTAATGAACGACAAATTTTTAAAATGTATTAAAAAAGCAGCACTTAAATTTTAATAAGGATTTAGGACATACAACTTTGCATTTGTATTTCTTATATAATATGGAAGTAAATCCATTGAGTGTGATTTTAGTGAAATCCGACAGCAAAGGAGACAGACTTCTGTTTCGGTATCCCTTCCAGGTTCAAGAAAATACTGAACCTTCAGGTACTCGTAGAAAAAACCCTTATACTCTACCAATTGTCGAAGATTTGTTGCAAAGCCCTCCGCAACCATCTTCAAATATAATCAAAGGGAGTTTGACAGGTTTCACTGACGAAGTTCTTTCTTCATTGTTCGCCGTCAAGAGTGAGTTGTACAACAGAAAATTTGAACTTAAGGTGAATGATGTGAGATTTGTGAGTCACCCAACTCTCTTGCAATTGAGAACCAAACAAGATGCGTCTGGGATTATGTTGATAAATATTGTATTTGCACTTCAGGCGTTAGCTAGTCACTCAGTAGGTAAGTTAAAGAAAATCTGTGGGGAGTTTCATAATTTTGTTTAAATTTCTTTTAGTAAAATGTTACCATGATTTGAGTAAAAGGATGGGGATTGTATTAAAACACGAAGAGAAGAGATGTGGATACATTTCTGAACAAACTCAGCTAATGACCAGCGTGCATGATGATTTATATTCAAATAATCCTGGAGCAGCGTTTCAGATAATTTTAGAAAAGTGTTCCCTTGCGAATAATATAAAGAAAATGTATGATGATTTATGTAGCACAGGTATGTTATTTTACGAATTTTGTAAGTGTTGTTTTAACATCTGTATTGAAAGGATTGGTAAATTTGAGAGTGAACAGATGGATTCCTTTAAGCTTTTGCCTGCCTCAAAAAGTGCACCAATGGCATTTGCGAGGAAAAATTGTAGAACCAGAGGATATAGATCGGTAAATAACTAAATAATATAAATATTTAGTGATAATATGACGAAAATTATATTTTCTAGGTGTTTAACAGCTTTGCGACCTTATCACAGTCTGTTACTACTGTATCCCGTACAACAGATGAATGACTTCACATCCTTAGATAGCTCTCCATCATTAGTCAGGCTTTTATCGCAATATTCCCCTTTGAAAAACTTACAGACCTTAGCCCTTGACGCTGATCTTACATTATCACATGTAAGTTTAATTACCCTTAATGTCTTAAAACTAAAGTTTGTATTGTTTAGGTTTTCGAACTTACAGCTCACCTAGTGTACTGGGCGAAAGCGACAGTAATATTTCCAGTTTGTTCTACAAACAAATATGTGATAGCACCGAATGCTCCTATACATTTAAACTCACCATTAATTGATAAGTTTAACAAGGCATTTCCAGGATCTAATCTTTTAAGGTTAATAAGTGAATTCTCCTTGCCTACTTCTCTCGGACAAAAATGCAACCCTTTGTGTCATCCGTCGCAGCAGTCCCAGTTAGTTCAGACAATCATATGGATGCTGCAGCATCATTTGTTGCTGCAGTTACACACCTACGTACAGTATATGCCAACTGAAAATGGGTTACATAGCAAAATGTAAGTGCTTATGAGAATATATTACTTTTTACTAATAATAATAATAATAATAGTTCTTCATTGGACAAACCAAATGGTTATCGACTGAAGTCCGTCAGCCACGTTTTTCCTTAATTTTATCAAAATTTCTGATCCTCGAAGTACTTTTGGCATGAGTTTCATCGTGCATAAACCAAAACTAGCACCTGTAAGTAATCTTCAAGAAGTACTGGAAGTACTTCTTCTATAGTGTTGGTGTCCAGTTCTTTATCTATTAAATTCAGTATCAGTGTTCTCAATTCGCTTGCCTTTTCGATAGTAGAAAAAAATTATTTTTGTGTTTCCCTTCATGTTTAAGAAAAAATAAAAAAAATCAAATTTAGTTACAGTGTTTGGCAAAGGAATTAAAGACAAATTCTATCCCTAGGAAATCAAATGAAATACTTTATTCCTTAGAACTAGAAATTGAAACAGTACCTTTAATTTACAAAATACATTAAAAGCTTCGAGTATTAAAAGTTGTATTATAATCTTTATAAATAAAAATTAAGAGGGCACTTTAGTTCTTAGAGTTAAAAAGTATTTGGTTATTAAAATAACATAAGGTCGTTTTCCCAGGGATTTTAATAAAAAGAACGCAAAATCTCCGTCTCCGAGAGGTAGCACCGTTTTATCTAGTTCATATCAGCCAAATGCCGAACACTCTCGGGCAGAATCGGAAAGTGGAGCCTCTACAATTTCTGAAACTCCTGAGTTGGTCACTCGTAGCATAAAGTACGTTTTAAGTAGTCATTTACGTTAAGTATGAAGTATATTTCTAACATTTTGTTTCAGTTTGGAAAATGTAAGTTTTACTTCTACTGAAGAAGATAAACAGAATTATCAAGAGGAGTTGTTACTTGACTTTCCAGATGAAGAAAGGACCTCAATATTTAAGGTACATTCAAGCTACTTACATGTTTCATTTTTATGTGCCACTTTAATTTCAGATTCCAGCTACAAATACACCTGAAGACTTAAAACTGTTCGCAAAACTATGCAGGAAGCAATATTTTCAAGGCAATCATCACATCGAGGAAATCATGTATCTTGAGAACCTGAGGCGAAGTCAGTTATTACAATTACTGGATAAATTTCGAGACGTTCTAATTACGTATGAAACTGAGGACCCTGCCATTGCTATGTTTTCCTGCTCTTCATAGTATTTCCGTGGTAACGTTATATACAGGGTGTAACACCGCAAGGTGCAAAAATATAGGAGCATTTTCCTCGTTCTAAGAATATGCCAATAATTTAATAAAAAAAATGTTTCAAATAATTTTTTTCGCCAATTCAATTATTTTCAGTTTTTATATTGTCTGCCATTGTACAGTATGTTTTTTGGGCATTATCTAACTTTATCTTTTCAAAAGTATATTATGCGTCTTTCAAAATCTTGTTGAATTTAAGGCCTACTTTAATAAGAACATATTCTATCTAAAACGTACCTTTTTGATGTTATTTGATGTTTTAAAACAAATAAGATTATTAGAAAAATATGTTAAAAAGATCTACAATCATAATTATTCAAAATGTTTACATTTTGATGAGGACAAATTCGATACTTTTTAAAATCATTAACACTACGAAGAATTTTGAGTGTAATGTCTCTAAAAGTTTTTTCTCGTTTTTGCATTGTGGAAGCTGAAGCATAAGTTTTACTAAAAAGTAAAAATAAATTTCTATAAGAGAAAGTTGAATTTTGTTAAATCGGGAGAGATGGAAAATTAAAGATTACTAAAAAGTTTATTTTGCAGAGATTTATTCATGACAATGTAACATGTATTTTACGGTATAATGTAAGAATTTTATATTAAAAAAAATACAGTTTTTTTTTTAAATTCCCTCACCATAGAAGGGCTAGTAACCAAAAAGGATCCCTCCTCACCCCCTCTATTCGAGTACAGCATTAAAACTTAAAAAGTCTAATTATCCTACCCTAATATACATTGGTAGAATCGAAAAAAAATTACATCTGTTTCTTTCAAATTTAACATATTTCCAATTAAAAAAATCATGTTATCTATCATCCAAAACTAGGAATTTCTAGCACTCGTAGTAATAATTATTTTTCAGTTTGAAATGTTTTAATAATTTATGGAAAAAATAGATTTTTCCATACTTGAATATATGACAAAAGACACCTTGTTGCTGTCACATTTAATTTTGTAGATATCCGATATTTGTGAGAATGCCGCTAATTCCATTTTTTTTTCAAATGTCAAATCTGACTACAATAATTTTATGTGGAAAAATTGATTTGGTTCAACTTTTATTACTAGAACTAGACTAATAGAACACCCACCAGCATACAAATATTTGTCGTTGAAGCCTTTTCTTGAGATACAGGGTGTTGAAATTTTACTAGCACCCCACTGGAAAAATATGTTTTATTACATTTTTTTTAGATTGGATGAGAATGATTCCTTGATTATTGAAAAGTATCGAAGGCCTAGGATCGCTATTTTCAACATTTTTTAAAAATTATTTAAATAATCCTAAATGAAGAGGTTCGGTCAATAGCCACCTTGGTTTACATACATTTTTTATGGTTTTAATGAAGACTAATTTTTTTTATGTTGGATGTCACTTTATTTATGTACTGATAAAATTTTATTTCAATATCTTGATTTGAACATAACATATTTAGTCACCTAACTTTTTTTGAAGAACACCTTTTAGCAAAAACGAGTGCATCAAAAGCAAATTTTTGTATAAGAAATATTCTTAAATTGGAATGAGGTAAACGCTTCTTTATTTTAACGTGTGGTGTTAAAATGTGATTGTATTAAATTATGATCAAAGTTAATAGTTAAAAAAACTACTTTAATTACTTTATAAGTTTTCTTGACATAATGAGAGTTTGTACTGGTTATTAAAGTGAATTGGTTGAGATTTGTTAATAACGAATGTCAAATTTTATAAATTGTTGATTATTATTTATTATACTTTTATACAAGGCGTCCCAAAAGTCACGGTTAAGCCGGCAAGGGGTGATAGGTCGGATCATGGATAACCAAAATCATTAAACGATTTAAATAAGAGTTTTTTAATTTCTGAATTATAGGCACCCAAAATATTCAGGGAAAAAGGTATTTTGTGATTGTTTTTTAATAAATATTGCAGAAGAACATTACTGTTACATTTTCCTCACAAAAAATTATTTTTCTTGGTTTTAAGGTTTTTAAAATTATTGCCTTACTATGACGGTTAGTTGAATCAACAAATTTGTTAACCTGAAATTAATCAAAATAATACAAAACATTTTCATTGAAATTTAATATTTTTGAAACAAAGTCAAAAGGAGCTATTTGTGTAAAAAAATAACCACCCATATACTTTTTCTTAAGTAACAAATGGTAACATTATGTCACTAAAATCTACTAAATGCACATGTCTCAAGATAAAAGGCTTGTATTTGAATTACCATGAACTTTAATCATACAATTAACATTTCCAGAAAGAGTGACCGCAAAAAACCTGTGATTTTCACCCGTTTTTTCACAATTCGCAGAGAATTAAAAAAAATATATAAAAATATATTTTTGGTTGCAAATTACTTGTCGTAAAAAACTGAAATGAGCATAGCGTTTAGTATTTTGAAAATTTAAAAAATCACCCCTACTTAGGGGTTGAAAAAATGCCAAAAATTAAGAATTTGAATATTTCCAATTGATATAAAAACTATTAGCATGTGAATTATCTTAATAAATTTTTTTCTGAATTTACAATTATTTCTGATATTCTCTATTTTTGGGGATGATTCCACCCCCTGAGCGCGCTTAAGAGTGGATTTTCAAATTCAACATGCTTATTTCATGAGAATAAATCTTTGTATCAAGAATCATTTGATAGAAAAATTCACATGCTAATAGTTTTTATATTAATTATTGGTAATATTCAATTCTTCATTTTGGGGCGTCTTTTCAACTTCTAAATAAGGGTGCTTTTCGAAAATTTTCAAAAAACTAAAAGCTATGCTCTCTTAATTTTTTATGACGAGTAATTTGAGACCAAAAACATATTTTTATCTGTTTTCTTTAATTCTCTGCGAATTGTGAAAAAACTGGCGATTTTTGCGGTCACTCTTTATATTCTTGGAACATAGCCTTTTCCATGTAACAAACATACAGAAGCAGTACTGCAAGAATTTTCTACGCCATCACTGCGTAGTTTCTTCCATACTTCGACATTTCTCTGACTGAGTTTTTGGTCACCGAAGAGGAGTTATGTCCCCAATTTTTGAGGCAATAGTTTCCGAAAACCCCTAATTCATCTCTTACAACGTCTGAAGGAAGTTTTTATTCTTTAACTCGTTTTTGCACATTTCTACTTTGCATAGGCGGGATTGAGGGGGGGCAAGGGGGGCAATCCCCCCCCCCCCTCCAATATTATTGCAATTCAGCTAAAAAGTTAAACTCAGAGTTAAACTTCAAAGGAGTCCAATTTCAATAGTCGTATGGATATAGATAAGAAAATTTTTCGAGAGATGTTTCCCCCCTCAATGATTTGGGCCAAATCCCGCCTATGCTACGTTGTGCAGAATAAACAAAGCAGAATAGAATAATTATTTTTCCTTTGCCATGCACTCTCCCTAATAACCTCAACTACCCACTGAAATTTTAAAACTCAATTAGTAACTGATTTTTATGTTTTTCTTTAATATTTTACACGACGATAAAATATGTTATAAATTCGTGAAATGAATTCAATTAAAATTTTTCATTCATCGATAAATTATTATTTTCACAATAAATAACTATAAACCGAGGAAAAAATTTTTTCTAAAAAATCGCAACAGTAATGGAATAATTTTTTTTTTTAGGTCCTGATTAGTCAAGATTACTCAGTAATATTCAGCTAAAAACAAACACGAAATACCTAATGTTGTAATTGTGGCACCCGAAATATTCGCCTAGATTAGCGATGATCATGAATTTAAAAAAGTGCTTATATCACGAAAACTAAGAGACTACTAAGGTTGAATTTCGTTGCTCTGGCCCTTGGCGTCTTGGCATTGACTTTTAGGACAGCCTGTATAATCACCCGTCTGTATTAATATATTATTTTACATATTTATATATTTTTTATGAGACATTTCTTAATTTTTGTAAGCTTTATAGTGAAAACATTTTATATAAATAAAGATTTTTTCCCTTTTACATCGCTATTGATTTCGGAATTTTTACTGAGTTATTTTAAAAAAACTTTATTTCTATTTACAAATATGTTAACAAAATAACAGTAATGTAATAATTTTACAAAGATATCACTTAAACGTAATACTGATTCAGGCTTCGCAAATAGTTCCCTTGATGGCCTCATCGACTGGAACTTTGAATATCCTGTAGTTCACCTCTTCTGGGTTGAGATCTTTGTAGATGAAAATCGGCATCTTATCAGAAAGTATCCACAGATTCCTTTCGTGATCCAACTAAAAAAAGTGAAATTATTTAGTCAATCTCATAAACATAAAAACAGTGTAAAGTAATACCTTCATGTCATTGGTGAAAATTAGATTTTCGTGGTCTTGTACGATTAAACCGAGGTTCTCCGGGTTTAGGGGTTTCTTTGTGTTCCAGCAAGCAACCCCATCCTTGCATAGTTGTGTGAGGAACAGTATATTGGTTTTTTCATCCAATACCGAAGCTGATGTTTGACTGCCGGGTCCTTTGGAACCTTCAAGCTGCAATTCAAATTATAATACAATATTGACATAAGGAAGTAAGTTTGAGATGAAGTACGTACTTTAAACATGTTGTACTGGCTTGGATCTGTTGCTAACGTTTTGTTTCTCAGTACTTCTGTATTGACGGAAAATTCATTGGTGCTAGCCAGAGCATGGAAATACAATGTACGGTACCTACAAAATATAAATTTATATTTACAAAAACAGATTTATGTAATGAGTCCATTACAATTTTGAATTATTATTATTTTGAAAATGAATGTCTCACCATCTACTGGCCAAAATATCATCTACACAATCGGTGTTACAGTGGTCTCGGCTTGTAAAACCAATACTGGTTATACATTTTGCTGCTAGATGACGCTATTTAACCAACTCGTTTGTTTTTAAATTTTAAAGGCCAGTTGTTGCCATTTGTGACTGTTTATTGAAGTTTAAAATGGTTAAATTGATAAAAATTAGTATGATTCCGAACAAAAAATAATAAATATACAAAATGCTTTTTATTATAAACGTGTGTTAGTGTTTTACGAAATTTCATACTGATTTAATAATATAGAATAAAAATAAGGTTATGGACATTTCAATATGATTGTGTAATGTAATGTAATATGTAATAATAAGCACTTGAATCTAGTTATTGATAGGTATATAACAAAAGAATATTTTTTTAATTTCTCAAATTGAAGCCTCACCCATTTTCATTTTGTGGACTGAGTGCTAAGCCGAAAAGTCCATCGGTCCATTGGAAGTTGACCCCACCAATGGTGAGATCTCCGCTAAGAGGGTCGAAATGGAAGAAGTTGTGCTTGATTCTCCAAGAGTCGTTTTCTGCGAAAGAGTATACAACCAGTCCATAACCACCAAGATCGGGTATGTAAGCAAAAGCTTCGTCGCATTTGTCAGGAGTTGCATCAACGACCTAAATCAATAAAAAGACTATTAATTCTGCATTTTATAAAAAAAATGGTGAAAAAAAAATAAATGGATGTAAAACCAGACTGGATAAATATATAATAATAATACGTCTGGTTCTGGTGAAAGCTCATTTATTTAATGACAATGGCGGTAATAAGTGGGTTTGTACAGCAAGATAAAACAAAATAAACATGTAATCGTTATGTTTGGCAGACACGCGAGGCGAATATATTACAGTTTGTTTGGATGTAAGTGATTATACCCTTTGAATACATAAGTAATCACATATTTATAAAACGAATCATGGGAGTAGGTACCTAACTTGTTTATTGTTGTTCAGATAAGCAAATTAAAATTATAATGTAGCTTTTAAGAATACCGTGGGATAAAATAAAATTTTCTAACTGAAAATTTTACGAAATTTTATTAATTTTCAACGAAATGTTGTGTAGTATAGTATAGGGTGGACAGATAATTTTCTTAATAACATAAGGGCAGAAAATTAGCGCCAGTCTCATGCAAATTTTAAATATAATGATGTAAAGTTCTTAGGTGAACCCAGGGATCGTGATCTAATGTCATTTATTTGATGTAATACAAAACTTTGTTACTCGTCAACTGTTCAAATAAAAGAAATGGTATTTCACTGAGATAGCAAAAGAAAAGTAATATCATATACATTGTGTAACAACGTCGCTGTTGCAATTTGACGAATGGGCATTAAGATGTTAGTGAGTTCAAAAAGTTGGACATTTTTTTTATAGAGGAAGTCTCTTTGCTGGATGTAGTAATTGAAGCGTTATTTCTCTGACGGTTGATTATTAGCCCAAGCATTATAGAGAAGTGCTTACAGAAATTATTATTTTTCGAGATATATCATTTCTTTGGAAAAAAGGCGCTCTCGAAAATTGGCTAGATTTTCTCAGTGGATGGCCCTACAGTAACGATTTTCTGTTTATTTTCTTCGTAAAGAATTGTATTACGATGCTATTAAAAAATTTTGACGATTTTATTAATTTAAAATATGACTGAAAAATTGCACTTTTTTTTATGCATTTCAATTTTTATTTAATGAAAATGACTTTTAAAGAAAGAAGTTGCTGACATTTTTTCATGAATTTAACAAAAAAATGCTTTTAACCTTCTAAAACTGTTTTATTTAAAACTCTGAAAACCGATAACGTGCTTTCTAAAAAATGGCTCGCGCTTACAAAATCTTTGATATCTCGGCTTCTGGACCATGTACAAAAATTCTTTTGTATTTAATCTGGGGTAGCTTGACGAACTACCACGAATATTATAGTTATTTTCGTCTTAGAGCAAAATAGTCTCGGAAATGTTTAATTTTTATTTAATTTTACAAGCACATAAGGATTTTTGTACGTAGTACAGAAGCTGAAATATCAAAGATTTTGCAAGAGCGAACCATTTAGAATGAACGTCATTAGTTTCCAGAGCTAATATTAAAAATCAATGAAACATATCCTATTATTTTCTTCTTGAAAATATAAGTATTCCGTAATAACCTCCATCAAGCGCATCGCTGTAAAATGTTAATTGCGTCCTCTATATTTTTTTAATTAAAAAAGTTACCTGGGTTCCAGAAGGTTATAGAAAAATACTTTTTTAATTCGTAAAAAAATATCAAGAATTTCTTTGTATAAAGTAAAAATTGAAATACTTATTTGAAAAAAAAAACATGCCCAAAAAAGCAATACATATTTTCATTCATTTTTTGATCCTTAAAATTAATAAAATCGTCAAAATTTTTTAATAACATGGTAATATAACCCTTTACGAAGAAAATAAACCAAAAATGGTTACTCAGGACCATCCGCTGAGAAGATTAGCCAATTTTCGAAAGCACCTTTTTTTCAAAGAATCAATAATTATATCTCGAAAAATAATTAATATTTTTAAATTTTTCAAATTTTTTTTTTAGCTTGCTACAGGCTATGCTTACAGTAAACGGCAAATATGGGAACGTAACTGTAAAGGAGTTACAGAAGAAGAGAAAAGATAATATTTTTAATGGTTTTTTCGATATATCTCGAAAAGTAACAAAGCAATCGATACATGTTAGTCAGTCGATAGATCTTTTTAAAACCTACAACTTGCTCATTAAAATTTTTCGATCGGAGATATAGTTTTTAGTTATTTAAGAAAAACTGTTTTTTGCATGTTTGTGAATTTTTTTGGCCATGTTTACCATTTTGGATCGAGTTTAAAGAACAAGAAACTCAATTTAAAATATAATTTCCTATATGGTCATATTTTTTTCCAGCAAGCCTTATTTTAAAACTTAATTTGTGGTATGGTATACTCATCACCAATTTAATTTTTATTGAATTTGTAGGCAAAACTTTTATTTTTTGCACCTTTATAGATCATAATTCTAATTCAGCATAAAAGTAGGTGAAATAATTGATTTTTTTTTTCTTTTTTGTTTTTATTTGGACATATTGTCGTTAAACTTGCCGACCACGTCTTGCTCTTATTGTTCTTGTTTATGTGTATGTCCGTGTACACTTATTACAATTATTTTGTTTACTTTAGCGAGAGGAATTAGTCTTGAAAGTTTGATGCAATACAGCTGTTACATCCTCTTATATCTACAATATTTTCATTGGGATCTTGAATAGGATACTCACAATATTGGCAAAGAAAGACTCCTCTCCTTTGAGGTCACTATCCTTCAGCGTATACCGACGGATCAGCTTGTCGGTTTTAAGGTCGAAAATAACGATAGCAGGTGGGGAAACTAAATTGGGACTCCCTAGGATATCAGCAAGGCCAGTGTCCATGACCCACAGTCTGTCGCAGGCGTCCACTTTGACTCTAAAGGTTGAGATAACTGCATTTTCCGTCGGTTTCTCCTCTCCCTTTGGGAGGGTGTTGGCTTTCCAGTCAGGGTAGGGGATGAGAGAGGCAGTTTTGTTTGCTGGGGTCAAAGGTACGTAGTTCAGGGAAGAAGCCACTCCCGCCTTCCATCTGAAAAAAAGACCAGATATATTTCTTAGTCATTTTACAGCTTGTCAAATAATGTAATCGGTGTTACCAGATAGTCTAAGATTTTCTCACAATCTGTACATTTTTATTAAAAAATCAGTAGATTTACATATATTTGTTAAAAATAGGAGTTTTCGAAAAATATGGTAAATCTTTAAAGACTGGCTGAAATCGGAAATATATATAGATAATGTGGGTACACATGCCACAAGTGATTCATTTTTAAGCATTACGTCAAGAGCGCCAGCAGGACGCCGCCGGACGCACCAGTGTTCCAGGAAGAGTCTCCGGCGGACTGTCGCCGGCGACCAGATGCGTACTCATATACCTACGACCGACTCCACACACAGGGACTCTCCAACGAACACTCGCCCCGTCAACACGTCTTTTTCTATACAACTTAGTTTTCAATAAAATACTTTAACATTACAGTTGAGAGAGCGTTTTATTCTTGCTGTACAGCGAAAGCAACCCTCAAAAATAACAAAGGGTTAAGTATAGAACCCCGTGAAACACCACATCTTATTGGAAGGATATTTGATGTTTTAGAACTAATAATCACTTGTTGTGTTTGATTATATGATAGTTTTGAATTATTAAGGTCCAGAGTATCAAATGCTTTGCCATAATTGAGCAAAACAAGGCAAGTGCATTGGTTGGTATCCGTAGCGGACATTATTTTTTTTAATATAGAATTTAATAAACTATTACGTAATATATTTAAATTTGAATTCAATTATCGAAGCATATAATTATATTTATTTAATTTTTCGTTGTATCGCATGTATTTTAAAGTGAAAGTTATAAGATGGCGAACGTCAGCTCTTATAGGAAGGTAGACTGTCATGGTTCAGTGTCAACGCTGATCTGAGCAGATATGTGACCAGTCAGGTGATATTAAAGAAAAAAAATGATATACTTGGGCGCCAACCTACACAAAATTGATGGTATTGAATGGATAATAATTAAAAACAGATTTATGTATTCTATATTTCTCAGTGTCTTGCATTTGCCTAATACATATAGATGTAGTGAAGCTCGATGAAGATGTTCCGCCAGTGATCTGGTTCTCTTGTTTTAGTAATCAATTTATTAAGGTTGTTGTATACAGTTGAACTGCTAAGTTAAAAACTACTAAGCTTGATCTTCTTTCTAAATTCAAGTAAAACTTTAAAGATTGTGAGTTTTGAAATATATAGCGATTTCTGTTAATAATATCAATTTACCAATAACAAATTTACTTTATCTTAAAGTAATTAAATATAAGTTTGTTTAATTATGGTTAAACAATTAACTAGGTAAATTAATTTGAACCTAAGTATCCTTTATTGCATAAGCATGCAAATCTATCAAATTATAAAAACTAATATAAAGAAATCTGCAATGTAAAGAAATTTTCTTCTGCTACAAAATTGTTTAGTATAACATTTTTCTTGTACAAAATTTACTCGTACTTATTTTTTCTGGTACGCTGTAAAAGAGGTTAAAAAGGAGAACAGGTTTTGATTAGCACATGGTCGTCTCAGCAATGAAGGTCAAAGAAATGTAGTTTAAAAAACTTGAACTGATATTTAACAATTTGATTATAATTTTGGGGATACATAAATGTTCAATAAATTACCTTTTAAAGATGGAATTTTTCACACACGTGATTTTAACAAAGTTAAACGGGTCGCTTTTATTACATTTCACTCGGGCTTATCATTCTACCAGATATTGAATTTAAAAAGGCTTTTAAACTCGTTCTGACCAGGTTTAATTACATTTTATTGAATAAAAAATCAATCAGTTTTGATGTTCGAAGCGAACTTAAATATAAACTGATATGTAGGTACCTAAATATCCTGATTTGATCCAACTTCGATTCGTATTAATATCAATGTTGCATATCTTTAAAGTGTTTATCCGTTTTTCATTTATATGTGTAGGTATACAGGGTGATTCGGTCATAATGTCATTAATTTTAAGGGAATTTAGAGAAACATGAGTAGAATACAAATACGCGATTAAAAAAAATAAAATGCATATTTATGCTGAAAAAAAACATTTTCAAATCATTATTTAAGTCCCTTTTCGGACCGCTTCTGACCGCTGACCTACAAACGTTTATCGAGAGTGAATCTTAGCGTATTCGGTCACTAACCTAGCTTTTACTGTGTTTTTAATAGTGAACGACAAAAACCGACCTTTTCTATCTAGACACATGAATGGATAAGATATTTTTTATTTATATTTATATTAAAAATTGGTATAAAAGGGTTTTAGATAGTCCTGAATAAGAATCCGGTGCAATTAGCCATGACTTAGACACGAAAATACCAAAATTATACATTCTACTCCTTTTTCTGAGATCTATCAAACAAGAAAATGTTGAAACAAATGGGTCAACAATTAACAATTTTACATGGGTGGCTAATTCAGTGGGACACACTGTATACATAATAATAAAGTTGTATCGCATAACATAAACATGTTTACTAATTTGATCTTTTTAATATTCAGTTTCAAGTTTAACATGAATTTTTAATTTTAAAGCAGTTACAGTTACAAATAACAAGTAATATCATAAGCACAAACATGCACAAAAATTGCAGTCTCAATCTAAATTTCTTGTAATTTTTCCAAAAGATGCATACCTATTTTTAAAATAATTGACCGAAAAAGTACCTATTTACGAAAGTACAAAGTTCAATGAATGGTTAAGAGGCTACTTAGCGACGTCTGCAAATGCGGAGTGTCGAGTTTCATGGCCTTCTACTCTGCTTATAGGAAATTATTTAAAATCCGCATTAAACTTTCTTTACGTGAAAAAGATAAACGAATTGTGTTTGTGTGTCATGGTGATATCCCAATTTGTAAATGTAAATAAACTCAAAGTAAGTCATGTGTATTTTTTATGAATATGCGGGAGACAACATTGTAATAAATATGACGTGAGGCATGGGCGTCGAGTAGAGTATTGATGTTTTTTATTGAGATTAATATGGTTTGTAACATTCATACCCCTCATAACTTTTATAGAAGATTGTTCTTTGATTGATGTTCAAGGGTAAAAGGACAAGGCCGACCAAATGAGATCAATCGAATTATTTTCAGATGGCGACTTACCTTCAGAAATGCAAAATTTACTGAATTTGTAAATGTCGTATTTTACCATAAATCACATTTCTATGCTGATGTATTACTCTTTTGCAGAAAATGAAACTGACAACTAGCTATTCAGAGAATTATTGATGATATAAATTCTTTTTTAAATATATCTTAACAAAGAACAATGTTAAAAAACAACCATGAAACCACTATTTTTATTCTAATTTTGGGGTGCTGAAACGACGGTAACACAGTGAAAATAACCCTTGTATGGAGATAAAAAAATAGTTTATTATACAATGAATTATTTATTAACCAGATTGTAAAATACATATCTGTAATATATTTTTTGTTGAGCAACTAAAATCAGACGGTACAAAGAATAGCATTCTAAATCACCTGGCTCATATTATACCTCTCACCCTCTTATGGGGGTGAAAACGACTATTGTGGACATAAAATCCAATTTAAAAAAAATTCTTTAACGGTCATGGTAATAGTTCATATCAGTTGTAATATTTGCAAATAAGAAAGTATTCAGTAAAGAATATAAAATTACCTTTGACATCTGTTAAATATGCGAATAGTAAATAAAATAATTTATTGTTATTATCATTAAAATGGAAAATATATAAAATAATAGAAAGAAAAGAAGGATTGTTCCCCGAACTTTCAATAAATAATTCCTGGCCAATAGTGTCACGATTTCGAACCATAATTATTGGTCACTAGAATTAAATATTTATCCCAACACCATCAGTTTCAAATTCAAGTTTCAAACCGCAAATTTTCTTAGAAGAAACTTATATTTGAATACCTAAGCAGAAGAAAAACCCAATATTATGCCACTGTTAACTTTGTACTGTACAACTGACAAATTCCCAAATCGAAATACCACAACAGGTGTGTTAATTTATTATTAATTTGAACATCATATCAAATGAAGAAATAAAAATAATTATTTTATGGTACTTGGAGGCGTTCGAGGACTATTTAATTATAAGAAATAAATAATTCAATGTTCACAGGTGTTTTATAATAATTGTAAATAATAGTTGTTATGATTTATGCCATTACACCACAAGAAAGTTATATCAGTCACATGTTTTTTATTGGAATATTTGAAATTGATTTTTATATATTTTAAAATTGCTTGTTCACTTCCAGATTTTACCCTTATTTTCATTTGAATCAGCAGAATAAGTTTAGATTATATTAAATTAGGCTGGCTCTACAGTTTTTTAATATTTTTTTCAAAAAATTATACATTTACATTCATACATTTATATGAAAACAATACCTAAGTAAAAACCTAGATATTTTGAACTAAAATGATCTGTTGACCTTTTGATAGCTTTATCGTTTTGGTAAAAACTTGCAATTTACAAAAGTGATACGTTTTTCATCTTAATATAATAATTTGCTTAGAATGTGATAATTTGCTTTCTTTGAAACTTTCAAAATCCTGTATCTCAACAACGAAAGCTTCAAGAAAATGTTTATATATGTAAATATTCTTAAATTTATACATTCTTTTACTTCTGCCGTTGTTGTGTTACACCCTACATAATTTTAAACAGGAACTTTATATTATTTTGATAACGATGGCTCCACGCCACTGGCGAAAACGGTTCTTTTCAAGATTATTTTACAACATATATCAATTTCTTCTATTTTTTGTGGTAAACCTTGCTATGTAAACATAATTTAATACCTACACCGCAACAAAAAATACATACTACGAATAATTTCGAATAGAGGTCAAGTTCTACAGCAACCACACAGAAGGATACAGAAATCGATTACTCTAATTGAAATTTCACGATTAACTAGTAACAGACCGTGGTAATCGGCATAAACTCATGTTAAACGTTTAGAGGACGTCCAGGTGG